AAAAAAGCCTCATTAGACAACTCAGGTTCCTTTTTCAGGAGTGCAGTCAGCTCCTCGCATGAGACACAGGGTACAAGTTTTTCTGACAGAGGTTAAATTTTTCTGTGTAACTGTATCACTTGTGGATTCAAATGGAAAAAGGAAAGGTATGTGAAATGCTGTGACAGAAGCAGAGATTTCCCAGGCCACTAACTATTCCTCAGTAATAGCAACAGTTTATGTTTTCAACTGGAGCTGTTCTAGTAAGATTCATTCCCATTTTTCTTTCACACAGGGAATTATTTTTTCTAAATACTTGAAGATATAACATAAAATGTTAACAGCTCCAGTTTTAGTGTCCTCCAATTTGTTCTCCCAATGAAATTGTAACCCAGATAATAAAATATCATGACTTTTCCCAAAAGGAAGAATTTTGAATGAGTCAAAGTATTATCCATCTCTAAGAAAGAAAAATGGCTGAGCAGCATTCAGAAATGGACAATAGGTTATTGTCTTATGTTTTTCTTGAGTACACTGTTTTGTTCCTAATATTTGATGCCTGCCAAAAGGAAATGGGAGGGCTGGTTTAGATAAAACAAAAATAAGTCTAAGTTTTTCCTCGCTGTTGAACGTAAAATAAGATGAAATTTTTAAGGCTTAGAAAATGTTGGAATTATGTTAAAAAAATAAATTAAAATGTTTTAGTAATGTGCTCCATTTTGGAAAGGAAAACAATGTTTTGTTTTGTTTTGTTTTGTTTTTCATTACTACAGCACAGTCCACTATTTAGTATGGATGGGAAGGGTTCAAAAAGCCCGAAATACACTAAATAATGTTTTAAAGCAATCCAAAGTATGTTTAAAGAGTGGGGTGGCACTGAAAAACAAGAGTAAAAAATTGATAAATCAGAAATTAGACTAAAATGGGGACTGAAAGGGTAAGAGGCGGACCACTGGGAAACTGGGAAAAGTGATCAGAACCAAAAGCAATTCTTGGAGGATCCTGTAGTGATGACACAACTGGTTTATCACTTTTCTCAATACTACATGTACTCAAAAGCCTTAAGAAACAAAATTTAAACCACTAAGATACTGAAGACCCCTGATAACCTTCATCAAAGAACAAGGATGAAATACATCCTAATTTGTCTTCCTTTCTATTTCTTTCTTTGTTCTTCTCTATGTATCTTCTTCATATCCTCTTTATTATTTTATCCAAATTTTTCCTCTTTTTCTTTCTTTCTTTTTTTTTCCTTTTTTTTTTTTTATTAATTTTTTACACTGTTTTGAGAACAATTGCAAGGTATAAAACAAGTCTTCTTGAATGGGAATGTTCACTTCAGCCTAAAAATGCTCTCTAAAGGACAAGCATCCCAGTCAGCTAGGATGTCCTACAATGGGAAGTTTTGGACCTACTGGGCTTGTTCTATTTTGATCTCTACTTGTCCAGTAAATTCAATGTTTTGGGGGAAATATTAAAGTTGTTTTCTATTTTACACTTGCCTCACACCATTAAACTGATGTATGTGTGATCAATGCAGGCATCTGAGACCTTCAGATGGGCTAGAACTATTTTGCAGTAATTATACATCTAGAAATCCTGGATAATAAATAAATAAATAAATAAATAAGGTCAAATTCCTTCAGACAGCATTTCTCACCAGGGAATGAGAACATGTCCAGTGCTATTGCACTTGCTTCTCTCCCTGGTTTGTCAGAAGCTGGAAAGTATTCTTACACTCGGCTGCAATAGAAATAATCCTCTGGTTTCCACAGAGAAAGATTCCTAGTTAAACAGGGAACTATTTTTGCACACTCTCTCTCACACACACAGAAAAAAAAAAAAAAAAAATCTCAAAGATGTTTTGATAAAATTTCTCTTAGAGAAACTGTGTGTCTGTTATGTTCTTAAGACAGAGAATTTGTGGCATTACATCTTTTTTTTGTGTGTGTGATACAGAAACAGCAATTACCACATAAAATTGAACTTTCTCTAACATTTTTCCAATGAGTTTTTCTGTTGCTAAGACCCAGAATTAGCTTTTTATTTATTTTTTTTTCTACAAAAAACAAATGTCAACATCATTTCAGGCAGCTCAACAGAACTGTTCCTTATCCTTCATTTTTCCTCTTTTTTTTTTTTTAACTGCTAAAATACATATCAGCCAGAATTTTAAAAATAATATGGTTTCTCCTACTCTTAATATTATTTAATATTTTTGCTTTGTTCAGACAAGCACATGTGAAATTTTCTATAAAATTCTGAAAATAGGCTTACTGGCTAAAAGTAACTGTGAATTTGACTCTTCACATTTACAAAATGCTTGACATAAAGCACAGAAGGCTGTACCCTGATGTGGTTTTTAGAATGAAGAAAGCAGCTGCAGGGGCTGCAGCTCTGGTTTGGAGTTTTTTTTCCAGCAAGGAAACCTGTATCACTGAGAATCTATAGGACAGTACCAGTTTCCTACTTGACTTGAATGAGTTCAGCTTCTTCTTCTAAACTTTTACTCCCTATAAAGGGATTTTAGTAATGGTCTCACTTACTAAAACCTGACCAATCCTGTTCTTTTTCAGTGTAGTGTATCGTTGTGAAACCGTAAAAACAAACTGACAGACACATGAGAAAAAAAAAACACTTTAAAAGAACAGATTCATAATGCTTATAATGCCTGAGGTTTGGGGAGTTGTTCTGTTCTCCTTCCAAGGCTTTAAATGACATTTTCAGGCCAGAAGGGTTATTAACAACTTAGTTCCAAAGCTCTTAAAAATCCAAACACTGACTGGATTAACTACAAGGGTGCAAAGGACACGTTTCTGTTTCTGACTCCAGCCCCTCCCATGTCTGTCAGCATGTCTGAATAGAGCTGAATCTGATTATTGTGTTAAAATGTAGAGTACCAATAGAAGCAGATGAACTGCTGGCTCCAGGTAGTCTCTGGAGTTACGTATATATCCACAGTCCTGCCATTGCATCTCTGTTTTTACAAAGCTCTGGCGATGTGAAAGAATCAAAAGTTCTGGGCCTACAACAATAGTAGTGTCTTGTTTATGCTGACGCTCTCCTCTGACAGCTAGGTAAATCACATATATCAGCAGCACTACTATTTGTCCAGTGATGGGATCAGATAGAAAAAAGGCACCCTCCCTACCACCAGCTTTTAGCAAATTGTGTGCAGTGTCTCACAGAGTTATTAAATTATAAGCCAGTATGATGGGTTTGTTGGTTGTTTTTTTTTTCAGGAGGTTTTAACACTTCATAACTTGTCTTTCTAAGTATACTGTAAGAGTACATTTACACTGAAAAGAAAAAAATAGCAGGATTTTGAAGTTTTTAGTGCATGCTAAAATCAGCACAGACTGGAATGTAAGACATAACCCTGTACTCCATTCCTGCAGTGGAGAAGTAAATTTAGATTAGAAATTAGCAAGGAAGGACAGCTAAAGAAAAAACAAACAAACAAACAAACAAAACATTCTGGCAAATGTGATAAACCACAGGTAAGCTTTTCTTTTTTTTTCTTTTTAAGTATTGAACTGTGCCTATGTACACGTAAGCAAGATAAGGTTTTGTAGGGTGAAGTGATATTAGATCAGCAAAATGCAGGAAGGACAGATATTTTCAGGTACACAAAACCCTCTTTTCAGGTTTGAAACAGCAAAGAGTTGAGGACTGTGAAGATATAATATATGTGAAGATATACAATTGGGAACAACTAATGTGGTTATATTACTTAATGAGGCAGGCTGACACAAAAAGATGTCTGGCACCTAGGGAGAAGAGGGTGGTGTTATTTAGAGAAGAAATGATAGGGTAGGAATCTACTGTATAAGAGTTAGGTTGTGCACAGATATTAAAAACAAAACACTTTAATAGGCAAAAACTTTAAGTGGTTAGAAACTCAGAATTTGATTCGGTTGCTTGACTGGACCTAGTCATTTAGAAAATGGGCTGTAACCAAAATTCCTATACAAATACCCTTTTAGTTTATTTAAGGTCCTGGACATATACACATATTTGGTGACTTACAATGCCTCTGTTGAAAATGGAAGAAGGAAGATAAGCATCTAAACGACAGTTAAAATTAACATTGGTGTCTTAACGTCAAGCATGGGATTAATTGCAAACTGAACACTGTGGGTTAGATTTAGTTAGATAAGATTAATTCTTTGGATTTGAAACATCAGTGAGGTCTCCTCACTGCTGGTTTCTTTGTGATCTAAGAGAGAGGAACAAATCTGTGCAGGAAGCTTTGGGGATAAACTGCACCTAAACTAGACTTTGAAAAATATGCTTGTTTCCCCTTGTTCCCACCCCCTCTGACAATTTGTGACAAGATGATGTAAAGCAGCATTTACCAACAACTTGTAAGAGATTAGGCAGTTGTCAAAAGAGATGTCAATACAGGCTTCAATGATTGCTTCCTGAGAGATTTCAGAGAACCACTAAGCTGCAGTTGGGTTTTGATAGCTCTCTACAGCTGTGCACAGCTGGTCAGATGCTATGTTTACCTGAATCTTTAGTGCTGGCTTGGTAAGTGATGGCTGGGGTGACAGTGAGGTATAATAACCATTCTTTATCTCTGTATATTATGAATTAGATGTCATCCATTATGAACCATCTCATCCCTCTCTCTAATTTTTCTTCACAACCGTATGTCGTGATTCCCACAAATAAAACCGTAATTACTGCTGCTTTTGTTTAACATGATTTATAATTGCCATAATGGTAAGGTCTCCCCTGGTAACAGTCAGTGCTCGCTGCTGACTTGCAGTACAGCTTTTCTGCAGCAAGCTTTCCCTGCTTGAGACTCATTGTCTCTAAAACAGACCTTTTTCTATTGTATGACAACACCAAAAAAAAGTAGATGACCAATGCAGTTTAATTTTTACAGATGATGACAATAGTCTCATAAATACTTTGGTTTAAGCAATTAGTCTTAACATGGGATTGTTTGAAGTGAATGATACAAGATACTCTTTGAGAGAAGGACAGTTATTTACAAGGGAAGCACACCAGGTTCAATTTCCCCCAAAACAGTAGTAAAGAAGGACAGCATGGGGCTTACTTTCTGATTTTTATTTTTTTATTTTTGTCTTGCTTATGATTTCCAGCTCTGCACAAGCTTGTACCTAAGGAGGTCTGGACACAGATAGGATCACGTGTGCATCTGTAACTCCAAATTGCCTTCTACTTTTCTTTCCAGTTTCCTAGTTCCTAGTATTCACAGCTCACCAAGGACACCCCAAATTCTGGGATTCTCAGCCAGTCCCAGGAAAAAAAAAAAGAAAAAAGGCATCTAGAAAACACAGCTAGGCTGATATAACTAACAGTTAGCAGCCATCTAAAGGAGGTCCTATTTCCCTCACTCCCAGCTTCCAGCTGTCTGTTCTCATCCATCCTTTACAATCAATCACTCATCCAACCACACTGTGAGACAGTTCAAGGAGTCAAACCAGTAGAAAACTCTATTTACTTTCCTCTTCTACTTTTCTGCCATTTTGGATTCCTGAATCAGTTTACAGCATGGCTAGATAACTGTCAAAGGTGGCAAAAGGGAATCCATGGGAACACATGGTTACAGTTTGAGGTTAGACAGGCTCAAAGTTAACATAAGTAGTATTGCCTCCCCGGGCAATAGACATTTTGTAGCTTTCCCATTCCAAAACACCCATTTCATTTAACAGAAAGAATATTTACCACTATTCCCAGTTTCTGAAAAAGCACTGAGCATTGGAGGTCAGTTGGTTTTGCTGTTGCTGCATTATTTTTTGGCCAGCTCAGTTGTCAGCCTAGTTCACCACTACTCCACACCAATATGCTGGTCCTGGGACAACAGAGAAGGTGAAGCAATAGAGGTAGTCAGTGGGAAGGAGAACAGAGGGAAGGGACTTATCTTTTCATGAGCGCAGTCCAGGAGAATTAAAGGTGAAGTATTATACCCAACAAGGCAAGTGATAATATGAAAAGAAAATTTAAGAAATAGTTTGGAAAGTTCACTGTAATCCAAAATTTTTGGTGTTGAGTATAGGTAGGACCAGACAAAATCACCACATTTGCAGGAAGAAAAGTAAATTTTATGATTCACGCATGGATTCAAAGACTTTTTTTCTTTTTTAGCCTGTTTTTATTACATACCCAACCAATATCCTCAAATTTCTCATTCTTCATGTACAGAGGCTTGAAAAGTCTACCAATGAGCAAAGAGACACAGAAAGGGAACACCAAAGATTTTTCAAAACAAAACAAAACAAAACAAAACAAAACAAAACAAAACAAACAAACAAAAACGGGTGGAGGGAAGGTGTAAGATTCTTTGTCACAATACTAATCATCAATACTATTGCATCATCATATGATGCAATTCCATAAATTTATTTGGAAGTATGGCTATGGATAATCTAAACGGGAAACTGACACTTGCTGAGGCTTTGTCATTGCTGTACCTCAGGCAATTATTTTCAGTAATTCTTGACTTGAGTAAGATTTCAAAGAATTAATTAGATCCCACCTTCTCAGAGGATGTATTAGTGGTATTTAAATTGTAGGACATTAGAACTTTTTAGCATGTAGCCCTAGTTTTATTCCTTCACATTTTTAGTTTTCCCCTTATTTTACCACCCTACTTGGAGGAGATAATGATGAAATTAATCCTGTTATTGAGTTGTCACTCTCTGGAAAGATCATTTCACATTTGTGGAGGAGTGGGAACAAATCAATCTGCTTATCGATTGATCAAAGGTGGGTTTTTGTAAGCAGCATTTTTAGAGGGCAGAGAAGATCAGAAGGACTTTGGGGAAGTCAGCATCTTCATCGCTGTCAAAGTGTCTACTCTTGTACTCTGATAGAGCTGAATTGTTAAGGAGCCAGTGCTCCTGTTTGTTTATATTTTTAAAAAATGTCAGGGTTTCCTATTCTTTTATTAAAGTTGTGGGTTAATACATTAAAATTAAATGTATCTTATTTTTTTTCCCAGAAAAGACAAATTTTCTACTGAACAGACTTACAAAGTATTTTTTTATATTTCAGCAGAAATTCATCATTTAAAGAGAAACTGAATTTTAAACACCTAGGCTCTGTCTACAGTCATAGAAAGAGACAAACTGTCTATAAGTTATCTAAGACCTTCAGTGAAATGTATTAATCTTTGGAAGGGCATTATTAATTTTTTTCCTTTCAAAATGTGAAAGAAAGCTAACTCGGATTAGCATGGCTCTTATAAATGCTCCAGTAAAATATTTAATTCTGATGAATTGGTACTTCATGATTTGGCATCACCTCTTCCTTTTCTCCTCATTAGTAAATCATTTTCTATTTCTAAAATGTGATTGCTACATGATGTCTGAGCATGTGTATCATTTTAAAGGACTCCACCGCAGTCATTTTGATGCCATGCTGTACCTGTTATTGACCACAATTTTTTGTCTGGGGAATTTTAATTAACTTCTCAGAAAACTGAACAGTATTTTTATTCTCAAAGAACTAAATTTACAAAATATTTAACATCAAGTTTTATAACTAAGTTTAACAACTGGAAAAAAAAAAAAGGTTTTGGATTGTTCTATAATGATCCTCAACTGATACTATGGTGATACTACATTTTTGTCTCAGACTTGTACAGATTGTTAATATGCGTTGAAAATGAATGATTTGGTGAACAACCAAGATGAAGAATTGCTTGCTGAGTAAGGAATTGAGTAGAATTGTTTTGGTCTGTGAAACCAAGATAAATTTCAAGGATAATATTATTTTCAACAGAGGACAGTCTATGTTGCACATAATCAATGCTCACAGGAAAACTTTGGATAAAATACTTACCTTGTTGCAGCCAGTGAGACGTTTTCTACAAAGTTCTGAGATGCATTCATTCCCTGAATCTACCACAGACTTCTAAGGCAATTCTTCAATAAGTCACTGAAGCTCATTCAGCATAAAGCAGACGTTTAGCTGCAACAACACAAAACTTTCATCATCTTCCTCCAGTATTGTTGTTTGTTTATGTTGCTCTTACCTGTACATGATGACACAGATTAGAATACTGATCAAAGAGAAAAATAATATCCCTCCTCAAAAAAAATAAAATAAAATAAAATAAATCCATATGTGTGAAAACACAGAACTGATTCATGACATGGGTGCAAAAATTACTGTGCCAGCACAGTGAAGACTTTGATGTCAAGGGAGAAGGGGAGTGCTTATTCTAGGAATGTTATCTTCAAAAGCAGGTAAAACTATAATCTAATTTTCTCAAGAATAGCTTTGTTCTTGTCCTGATTTGAGGTCATCTCTCAATAGGAGCTTCATTTTTTACCCATTCTGGATGGCATTTGAGCTCACACTTATCTTTCAATATGTGGCTAAATACTATTATATTCAAATCCTGAGCCTGACTCCTCAACAAATCTTAAGTATGTGCTTTAAATATTGTCATATTTACAAATACTGTCTTGTGGGGAAAGTTTTTTTCTTAACTGTCAGTTGTAAGAGAAAAGATTTTTTTCCCTGTCATCTTTGTAGAATGCTTTGTAAAAGGCAAGTGATAACTGTATTTGGACTTTGGACATCTACACAGTGCAGACTGAAATATGAGTAACACCACCATTTACAATCAGCAACAACAATAAACTGTAAAAAAAAAACATACAATTAGTATTACAGCTTAATATAAAGTACTGTAATCTTCACAACTACACCTTTCTTCCTAAAATGCACAGCAAATATTCTGTCAAGAAAATATATTACAGAAGACATAAAGGGAATATGCAGAGAAAGAACTGAGAATTACTGATCAAAGCAAAAGGCTTTACCTGGAAGTTGATGAATGGTAGGGAAATCTGAATGCTGGAATCTTTGCCCCAGGCCAGCAACCTCCTCCAAGCATTATTTCCCTCAGGAAAGGTCCTGTTCCAGAGGATGTCATTCCTAGAGTGCACTTGGGCTTGCTTTTTTGATCTAGGATAAAACATTTATATGAATGTCTTTGAGTTGGTAATGGCAGTGACACAAGGTCACCCACTCATGACATGAAGTTTCTGGGGAAAAAAATTATCTGATAACACATCACTTCTCTTTATAATAAAATTAGCAAAATTGATTGTTTCAAAGAGAATGAAATAAAAGAAAACTAAACATTTATCAATGTCTAAGCACTATCAGAATCCTTCTGGTGACAGAAGGGGATGTGTGGTTGATTTTACTTTGAAGTAAATGCAATCAGAATTTCTAACTTCTGTGCAACAAATCTGGAATCGTGCTTTTACCAACTGAGGCTTTGAAAATATGTGTGTACATATACATGTATAAAGGTTCCGTTTTACAGAATAAAGTGCACAGTTCTGAACTAATTCCACTATGTAATAACAGGTCAAACATCCCTGATCATTTCAATAAACGATCAGTTGGCTGCAAAGGGCTTTTTCTCCTTTTATCTTTCACAGCTTCCCCACTAATGACTCTGAAAGTGCCTTTTCTTGGAAGAATGTTGCAATATGATGGGTAACAGCAAACTTAGATTACTCCTGCAGAAATATGCTGCTTGGGAACAAAACTGAATTATGGTTTTGGATTGTGATCAGATTTGCCAGTGGAAATACATTTTATATAAAAACACTACTTTTTGACACGGAGTTTTCATATGTCTCTATTAAAAAAAATAAAACAAAACTGTAGTTAATCTCAGTACATTACTTCAAAATGAATGGCCAAAAGATTTTGCCTTGAAAATGTAAATTCATTATCCAACCCTTTTTTAGCCAAGTTTTAGTAACTGATTCAATGAATTGCTAATGCCATAAGTTCCACGCATTAACTATAAATCATGAAATGACCAGGCTAACAATGTTTTGAACCTGAGTTTCAAATGTATTTATAGCATTTCAACAACTATAACTTTCAGTTGCTATTGAGAAGGGGAAAAGTTGTGGTGGGCAGGCAAGACAGAACAACAAAGATCTTTTCATCTCATTTTCAGATTTCTCTCTTCTTTTCTTTTTTTTATTTTTTAAAGTGTTTGGTTTTTTTTTCTCATTAGAAAAAAATAAAGCAAAATTTACTACCTAAAAAAATAAACTGACAAGCACAAAGTTGTTTGAAAACACTGTAAAAAAAATGCTGAGAAAAGATAAAAATAAAAGGATATAAAAGCCGTAGGTACCTCATGTAAATACTGTTAGCAAGAACTGCTAAAAGTGCATAGGTAATGTTAGCCAAAAAATGTATTATGTCTAAATTATGTTATTAAGATATGAAATACATACTAAAACTCACTGTATTTTTTTGTAACGCATTAAGAATCATTATATAAATGTAAGTTATTGTTTACTGTAGCAACATAATCTCTTTTAAAGCTCACTTTTAAAAATATTTCCTATTTTAAATAGAAAAATCATTCCAGAAAAATTTTAGTGGTTAATATTAAGTAGAAAACCATCTCCCCACACTGGCTATTACATAGAATTAACTTTGGATACTATTGTGTTTAAATAGCTTTTTCCTAGGATTTTATGTTTCTTTTGCCCCACTGAACCTGAACCATACGCTGGATGCAATTAAAATTGGGGTGTCCTGAGGGGGGTGTCCTGGTCACAGGAGACGCTGAGAAGGCAGAGATACTGAATGCTTTCTTTGCTTCAGTCTTTGCTTCACTGGACACTCCCCCGGGACTCCTTGCCCCTGGCAATAAGACAAAGGGTCTGGGAAATGGAGGGCTCCCCCCTGGTGGATGTGAGAGAGGTTCAGGAGCGTCTGAGTGGGCTCAACGCACACAAATTCATGGGTCCTGATGGGATGCGTCCACGTGTGCTATGGGAGCTGGTGGATGTGATCTCTGAACTGCTCTCTATCATCTTTGAAAGGTCCTGGAGAACGGGTGAGGTGCCTGAAGACTGGAGGATAGCCAATGTCACTCCGGTCTTCAAGAAGGGCAGGAAGGACAATCCGAGAAACTACAGGCCAGTCAGTCTCACCTCTGTTCCTGGAAAGGTGTTGTAATAGTTTGTTCTGTATGCCATCTCCAAGCAATTGGAAGAGAAGAAGGTTATGAGGAGTAGTCATCGTGGATTCACCAAGGGGAAGTTGTGCTCGACCAACCATATTGCCTTCTATGATGGCATCACCAGCTCGGTAGATGGAGGGAGAGTGGTGGATGTCATCTACCTTGACTTTAGCAAGGCTTTTGATACTGTCTCCTATGACATCCTACTAGCAAAGCTGAGAAAGTGTGGGATAGATGAGTGGACGGCAAGGTAGGTTGAGAACTGGCTGACTGGCTGAGCTCAGAGGGTGGTGATCGGCAGCACAGAGTCTGGCTGGAGGCCTGTGACTAGCGGTGTTCCCCAGGGGTTGGTGCTGAGTCCGATCTTGTTCAACATCTTCATTGATGACCTTGATGAGGGAATAGTGTCTGCCCTCAGCAAGTACGCCAATGACACAAATCTGGGAGGAGTGGCTGACATGCCAGAAGGCTGTGCTGCCATTCAGCAAGACCTGGACAGGCTAGAGAGCTGGGCGGGAAGTAACCAAATGAGGTTTAATAAGAGCAAGTGTAGAGTCCTGCACCTGGGAAGGAACAACCACATGTATCAGTATAGGCTGGGGGACAACCTGCTGGAGAGGAGCTCTGACGAAAAGGACCTAGGGGTCCTGGTGGACGACAGGTTGACCATGAGCCAGCAGTGTGCCCTTGTGGCCAAGAGGGCTAATGGGATCCTGGCGTGCATTAAGAGGAACGTGGCCAGCAGGCCAAGGGAGGTGATCCTCCCCCTCTAGTCTGCCCTGGTCAGGCCTCACCTGAAGTATTGTGTCCAGTTCTGGGTTCCCCTCTACAAAAAAGACAGGAATCTCCTGGAAGGAGTCCAGCGGAGGGCCACAAAAATAATACGGGGCCTGGAGCATCTTCCCTATGAAGAAAGGCTGAGAGACCTGGGTCTGTTCAGCCTGGAGAAGAGAAGGCTGAGAGGGGATCTCCACAGTGTATATAAATATCTCAGGAGTGGGGGACAGAAGGACGCAGCCAACCTCTTCTCAGTGGTTTGTGGGGATAGGACAAGGGGCAATGGCTGCAAGTTAGAGCACAGGAAGTTCCTCACTGACATGCGAAAGAACTTCTTCACAGTGAGGGTGAGGGAGCATTGGAACAGGCTGCCTAGGGAGGTTGTGGAGTCTCCTTCTCTGGAGATATTCAAGGCCTGTCTGGACGCCTACCTGGGCAGCCTGCTCTGAGGAACCTGCTTTGGCATGGGGGTTGGACCTGATGATTTTTTGAGATCCCTTCCAACCCCTACAGTTCTGTGATTCTGTGAAAATACAATGCACTTCAAACTGAGATGTAACAACCAGAATTTAGTCACTGGCAATAAGGGATGGTGTTACTTCTATTTGATGAGGCATTTTGTTTTAATTTCAAGTCACCTGTATACAGGTGAAACATTTTTATGGGTAGTCCTTGAGAGGCAAAGCTTCTCTCTTTTGCCAGAACAGACACAATGTACGAAGTGCAGTATAAATATTGTCCACATCATCATGTTTCCCTTCAGGACCACTTCTGAGTTGAGAAATTTTATCTTTTGGGCTTGATCTTGATTTTTATGCCAGAATTTCCTGAAAAAAGCATTTCCTGCTGGATGCTGGCAATGGTGGGGTCCCTTCTTTTCAAGTATGGATCAAGAGTAACAGTTCCTAGTTCTTCTCAAATTAACATGCCTCAGACTACACCTCCCTCTTCTTTCAAATCCATCCCAAGGAGAGCACTGAAAGAAAAGAAGACCCTCACTATTGAGAATATGGAACATACTTTGTTCCTGCCTCATTTAGATAGTAAATGTTTTTAGAAAGGACTATCTTTAAATGTCTTGTTTACTGTTTAGCATGCAAGCAGAGCTTAAACCCATGTATTTATCCTATATCAATTACCCACCAGGTAATCGTGAATGTGGAATAGTGGACTTGATTTCTTGTCCACTAGACAGGACAGATTTAGCCATGCTGTTTTAGGACTCTGCTGTCTTCCTCTTCTGGAGGCCACCGGGTCACTTTCTGATCTGTATGAGAATATTTCATCAGGTCTCTGTCAGATTATCTTTATATTTCTTCCTGTGTAAATCTTGAATATCACCAGCTGCATATGGCGAAAGATCATTTATAGCATTAGGCATCAACAGTGTGATACCAACATGAATTTTCTTCTGTCAGAGACTGATGATCTCAAAGCCACACAAAGCATGGTGCCTAGCATCTAAATGAAGACACCATACCTCAAAAATATCAGAACTACATGGAGATATCAAATATTTTCAAAAGAAAATATCTTTCCTGTTTAGACTGCTCAGGTAACTATCTAGGGATGGATCCCTGGATTAGTTGTAATATCTATGTAGAAACTGTGAAAGGATAAGTGCTGACTTAGAAGAAATACATTAGGCACTTGAGAAATTTAGACAAAGCTTCCTAGGGAGAAGATTTCAGCTGCTGCTCTTCTTGGCCTCCATTTTACATTAATAAATAAATAAAAAAATCCTCCTAAGTATGTTTGTAAATTGAACAGTTACCAAACTATTTTCACATCAGATTATATCTGAATCATCTACCACAGTTTTCTAATACCAGCATATAAAAAAAGTTATACCTGCCAAGTCCAAGACTATGCTTTTATATTCCCAGGTCAAAGGTGAGGTTTGGAAATTGCACCTTCTATGTAGAAACAACATTGAAACACTCATCCTACACAACAGGCAATAAACTAGTTCATGCAGAAGACATGTTCCACAGCCAATACCACTGTATTTTGCAATCTTTTTACCAGGAGTGTAAAGATTTCCCCCGGTGTACACTGCAGACAAAATTCTTTGCAAGAATATATTGATGTTAAATGAATTCCATTCACATCTTTGTCACCACTTACAAACATCAAGTTAGTTTTAAGTGTTCTTACTGCAATTATTATTTTAGTATCTCCCATATTTCATGTATGAAATAGTTGTACGCTCTTTCATATCACTTACTGACTTTTTAATAATAATCTTTGCAGCACTCTGTAGTTTTTATTTTCCTGGAATGATGATCTGCTGCATCTGTCAAATTAACAGGCAAATACAGGAAATAAATTTGAATAATTATAAAAAAATGAAGTATTATTTGTAAAAATAAGCCATATCATGAAAGAGAAAGGATCAATTTGAAAAATGCAAATACTAACAAAGAATCTGAGTGACATGCAACACTAATGATTTTGGCCATTCAGTGAGTTCAGTGAATGTTTTCCGGTAGTCTCAAGAGACCTAAATTAGGACACAAGAGATCTATTTTTTTTTTTTTCAGTCACTCAGTGGCTACACAGTCAAGATAGTCTGAAACTGGTGAAACACTGGTGAGCCATGAATACAGTGGTTTCTCAGTAACCCAGATGCCTTCACAACCCAGTCAGCTGCACAGCCTTAGTGCAATGCTGTGATGTGCATGTAGACGGGAGCTGACAATCACAGTTCAAGGGACACCTGACAGAGGGAATCCTTACTCCAAGGACTATTCATGCAGTGTTGCATAACACATGAATATTTTTGGACCGGGGTAAATATGCACAACAACTCTACAATTAGTCTGCACAGTATTTCTCCTCTTGTCTCACTGAGCCTCAAATACCTCATGAACAGCTTCCCACGGCACCACACAGAGTGTTCTCCAACTAGAATACAGCCTGGGAATTAAGGCACCGCCGAGTAGATGGAGGTTTAATGTGAATAGGAACCCTCACATTGAAAAATAGCTGAGCCTGAATGTCTCACATCCTTTGCAAAAACACCCTGAGCATGCAAGTCATGAGCATCAAAGTCTGAAAACGACATTTGCAAACTCAAAGCATGCTGCTTCATATCTATTGAATGAGGTCAATCTGTTGATGTAATAAAGACTTTTTTTTTTTTTTTTCATGCCACTATCATCAGTTGCACAAGAAAAACTCTCCATGTAATTTTGCTGTGAATACAAACCTCCTCTGACTTACGTTACTGACTTACGTACTGACTTACGTTACGTTTAAGAAAAAAGAATCCCCAGTTCTTTGGGACTACAAATGCCCACGCTGCAGTGGAAAGGGAGGTAAACTTCCTCAGGAAAACTTCATCAGTATTTTCAAGGATTAGGTTTTAAACTTTGTTGCCTAAATCAGATATAAATTTCACATGAATGTTCTTGCAAATCCATGTCAGAGTCCACCAATGTTACCCAGGGACTCTACTGCACAGCCAGTAACTAAATCCTAAGCTTCTAAAAAATGTATGAAGATATTGGATATAGTAGCTGGAAAACTTAACATATTTTTCAGTTTATCCTGATAGTAAAAATAGTTATTAAAGACTTCCTGGGACACAGAGGGGTGTGCAGCATGTATGTTGAGATGGAGCATGTCCTTCATTGACCTAAACCTTTCTCTCAATGGAAGACAAATTTTTCTGCCAAAGAAAGATCTATTTACCATGTTTTATGACTTCAGCTAATTTTAAAAGTCAAAACAAAAATATCATTCTAAAATGCCAAAAAATTTTGTTTGAAAATTGTCAGAATTAAATATTTTACTTTTTTTTTTTTTTAATTTTGTGAAAACCTATTAAAACAGGAAGCTGGACCCACAAACACTCTCATTTCCTAAAACTGATTAATCATTAATTTGGTATTCTCTAAAGAAAATTCACTGTTCTGTGAGTCCAAAGACAGCTTCCTACTCATTGAAGCATTCTTTGCCTCTAACAAGTTGTTGATATTACAGTTATCCTCCCCTCAAAAAAGTTCAGCTGTGCTTCCATCGCTAATATTGGTCTTCAAGGTCTTTTAACTTTTAAATTAAAGAGAAGCTTTTTGAAATGAAAAAGAAAATCACTCCTTAATGCATTTGAAATTTTCTCGAGGAAGCCTTATATTAATTAAGAGGAAAGAGATTTTTTTTTTTTTTTTTTTTTTTTTTAATTAAACCTAATTATAGTATCTGAAAGTATAGCTTCTTTGAACTCTGATTTCATACAGGAAGGGAGGAGGAGATCCTTATTATTTTTTTTCATGTGAAAACAAGTCTTGATCTATACACGTTTGGTTAACCAATTTTAATGGAGTTTGTGTTTCTTGTGTGTTCCTAAAGAGGCTCACAAGAAAAATACTTGCGTAGCACAAATGCCATCGATGTGTATTATCCTAAAGGGGTAGAAATGCAGTATCTATGAACTTTAAAGACTCAAATACTGTATTCAAACAAGTACTCTAAAGTTTTAGCAGACTTCTTTGGCTGGATATCAAGGGGATTATCTCAAAGAAAAATGGTTACTCTTTTCTGAAACTTCCAGATCTAGTCAGAATTCAAAGGTGATTGGAGACTTCTTCTGCTGATACTGTGCTGTGTTTACAATGGACATTATCTTGGCTTGCAGCTCCCCACACCACACAATGTGAGTTTTCATTGTTCCAATGAAAAGATAAATTTTAGGAGCAATGGTGCTGTGCAGTTTGCCCACCTCTGTAGAAAATGTACTGCACTCAGAGCTCCACTGCAGCACCAGGCAGCAGTGAGGAGAAAGTGTTTTATGATAATCTACAAAACTTCTTCCAATCTACAAGATTTCTTACATTCAGCGCCAGAGCAATACCCCTGTCTGCACAGTTCTTTGACTCTGCTAAATAGCCTATCTTACCACTTCCTACCCCAGTGCAGTGATGCCTGTCTCTCTCCCAGGCAGGAATGTTCTAAAACCACCAAAGCAAAGAGCTTCACACTGATGTCTTAGAAACCACCATGTGTTCATAATAACATCTACATTTCTTATCTGTTAACATTGTGGGTGAAAGCTATTACTGAAAGCCAAAGACTTCCACAGAAAGGAGCTCTGTGTTGAAACCCAAAAGGTGCTGAATGAAATGAACAACTAAGTCTGAAATGCTCTGCTGAGCAGGAGGTGCGCTTGGTGGCAGAGGAGACCCTGCATTGCTGGTGGAGTCCTTTGGCTCCTGTGCCTGACACATTCAAAAGTCACCTTGGATCAAGGCAGCAGTCTGTGTTCCTAGAGTGCCAACAGCTATAGCCCAGACAAGAATTTAAAAGAGAAAACGCAGGGCAATCTGTATAAGAATTTATAAGCTAGGAGGTAGCAAAGTGTGCTCAAGAAGTAGACTGTGTGTAATTCTCAATGTGTCAACATGTCATTACCTCAACAGGCCAATACAACTGTGCCATAGTTCTGCTCCTGCTCTGGGTGAGGGCTGGAAAACCTAGGTACCATTAGCAAAACCATTGCAGGCAGTGGGGTTTTGGGGGTGGCTACACACCTGTGCTGTCAGTGATGTTTCTGTGGGTGTCCCCAGCTCCTCTTCCACAACCAGCCAGGTCTGCAACAGGGACAAGTCTGCATCCACCAACAGTGAGGATCCTCCTGTGAACTGCAGATAGGAGTTCAGTGAGAAACAGAGAGACATGCTGGAATAGCCTTCAAATTATAGACTTATGTTGTTAATGAACTTGAAAGGTAATTAACTTGTTTCAAGCATGGAAAAAATATTACATTTGAGTTGGGAAATCCCCAGATGAATTCTTTCAGTGACTTTTTCTGCTGTAAGTGTGCTGTTAATTCACATATGCCTGAGCTTACTCATCTCTGTCATGAGGTTGATGGTACTTAGAAATATATCCCCCAACAGCTTGGCAAGGGTCTTTTAAAATGGCACAATGCTGAAAAATGCTAATTATAATCATCCCCATCACTGTGCCCACCCCAAGTAATTATTACATTGCAGAAACAAAGTAATTCTACTGGAATAATGGCACAATCTATTTACATAGGGATTGTTTTCTACATATGTCTCAATATTCGCCACATATAAAAGCAATGTGAGCTGAAATTATTCCTTATTTATCCAGTTTTGAATTTTAATGAACAAGAATGCCACAAGTTTATGAAATTTTTAAAACCAAAAGATGAATTAGATTAATAGGCTTCATAACCCTCCATATTCTGGCAAAAGGTACTGTGGAAACTTTTAGGTAAATAGCATTTAATTTAATTTAATTATTTAACAGTATAGTGCATCCATTCCAGCTCAAAAGGGATAGTGGTTAAAATACAGAGGCTGGGAATTCTAATATCCCCATGCAAATTTTCAGTATATTCTTAAGCAATTCAATTTTTAAAAGGGTATAAACCAACATAATTTTGCTGCAAAGCCTGATTTTATTCCAATTCATAGATGCAGAAGCTGGTCTTGCAACACATACATAGTTCTTTCTTCTTTAGTGTTGTCCTGGAGAGACATGAAACTAAACCAATATTGTAGCTTTCGTAAGTTCATCATTTAGAAGAATTGTGAGCAGATTCAGTTGCTGATAAAAGTAATAAAGCTGCAGATAAGGGGACAAATTCACTGCCTGAACTGTGTGCAGACCCTACGGCTGGAATAGCAGAGGATACTGAAGGTTAGAAGCACTCTACTCCATTAAATGTGTCTGGAGCATGAAGGTCAAAATATCCTGTGCTTTCAACTAGTACCAAATGTGGGTTTACTGGGAGAAGCGTGATGGGACTGCAACTACCACTGGCACTGCCCAGTGTGGTGAAGATGCTGTCCAGGGTGCAGCTGCTCACTGCCTGCCCACTGCTGATGTACATATATCATGGGCACGAATGGCAGGCAGGCTGCCACACTCATTGCCTTGTGCACCAGTGCGAAAAGCAAGTGGGAGCATTTAGCATGAAGCTGCTGTAGAAAAGCTGTTTCAGGGAAAGGGGTTGTAAAATGCTTGGGGTCTTGTGCAGGAGGTCTGAGCTGCTGGGGAAGGTGGATAAACAAAACTTTCCACTTTTTGTCTTCTGTCACTGTAACTGCCTCAGCCTAGTCCTTTGCTTCCATAAGCATAATGCCAACTCATTAAGTTCTAATTAGAATTAAATGCTTTAACTCCTTCCTCACCACTCTGACCCTCCAGCTGTCTGTTTCTCATGTTGTTTTCAGCCCTTCTTGGCTCCTCCCTAGATTCTCATCTTCTTCTCAGCAAGGTGAGAGGCCAGCAGGCTTTGCTGTTGAAAGCCCTCTTTACCAGAACACTTCTAATAATCTTCCCATGTGCTGGTATTTTTAGCTGCCAAGCCAGAAGTTTCACTGCACAAGAAAAGAAAGCAATTTACAGCTTCATGTAGAAACACAGCCACTTCCAGTTCATTTGTTTTTCATCTTGATTATCAATACGTTTGTCATATCTCTGTAATTTATTCATTATCTTTAGTCAAGGAATGTGAAAGGGAGGGGTAGGAGCAAAGGAGGAGATAAGTGCACTTGTCAAAATTTGAAACAGATGCTCTAACAATGATTGGAGACAATTAATGTTCTCAGTGAGCATCAACAGCCAAAGTCCATGGATTGCCTCAAATTTCTGCAGCAAACAGCCTTTTGGAAAATGCAAATACGGAGCCTTTATTTTTCCAGGCACGTGAGAGGATGTCTTGCTGGTAATGAGCTGTCCCAAGGAACTTCTTCACATTGCTGCTTGACAGTGCAGCTGTTCTGATCACTGCTGGCCTGGATATGAGCACAGCACCAGGAGGGGGCTGTAGGGCTGGTATCAGAACTAACGAACCTGTAACCACTCCCTCCCTCTGGTTCAGGCACAGCATGTAAAGCAAAGCACTTAGCACGTGTTTAACCTTGGGTTACTCAAGGTCAATAGCACATAAGAAGCAGGTAAAGCCGGGTACATGCACTGTGATTGCTAGGCTAGCTAGGATAGCCAGGATAGCAGGCAGCTAGCAAACGTCTTTGTTGTGGTCAGGTCTTCAGTTACTCGCTGGGGAATGACCCCATTTTTAGAGAGCTCTAAAGGGAAGGTCGCTCATTTGGTCTTGCATACAGCACCAGAGAAAAATTGGTATAGCCAAGGAGTCAGAGTCAGATTTCAGCCTATATCACTTTGGGGAATTGACAATGAATTCCAATCACAATAAATAACTATAACAAGAAAGGGGAAAAAATCAATAACAAATAGATGTGATCTAATTACTAACATTTGTAGTAATAGTTTATTGTTCTACACCACATGTAACTTTCATCTTCCCTCTCTGCACTCTGTCAATTTAATTTTCCCTTCTGCTGTTCTGCTATCTAAAATGATCAAACACCTACCATGCCCTGGAAAGTATACCAATTAAGAGCTGCATTTAAATCTGCCTGAATGTGGCTGTCATAAAGTTAATTGGAATAAACACATATTTGATATGATATTGTTTGAATTCTGCTCCAAGCCAGAGTATCGCCCATCACAAACTTTCTTTTTATTGGTTTATATTCTTATTCTTCTCAGTTTTTCTCATTTTATTTCATTCTTCCTATTCACAAGATTTTTTTTTTCATCATTCCACAGCCCATAGACAACATCTGCATTTTGAAGGATCTTTTAAAAGGAAGCTTTTAAAACCTGAATAATGGTTTATTTATAATACATTCAGTTACTTCTCTGCTAAATTTATTTGTAGTTGGGTCAGTAGCAAATGGATGTGTTGTTTTTTTTTTTTTTTTTCCATAGGAGAATAGTGCAAATGTAAGGTAGCTCAGACAGGGACCAAGAGTGAGAGGCACTTTAACAGCATCTCCCTAGGGACTGAAGGGAGAACCCTTGGTCATGCTTCTTCTGCCTACTCCTCCACAGCATAGGAGCATGCACTGAGCTACTCATGCCATCATCCTGTGTCCTCTCAAGTTCCCACATTGCTTAGGGAATGAAAGGGGTTTCTTCACCAAGGACCACACTCAGCCAGCACATAACAGCCAGCAAGGGACCAGTCCTCCAATGGCCTGTTACACACAGTATTGGCAATGGCTTCTGGATCATACATAAATCAGCATATTTTTACATGCTGTGTAAAAGAACACTATTTTTGTTTGCCTCAAGCCTCCTACCATGTCTATTATAAGAGGGGAAAAAAGAAAAAAAAAGCATACATAAGCCAGCTAAAACTATAACCAGAGTTTACTTAATGGCTGTCATTCGTAATTTTCTTTTCAATGTTCAATGACTTCAGTCCAGCTAAGTACCAACATTACAGGAATTTAAGGCAGTGTGTATGTTAGCCTATGGCCACCATTGCATAAACTCTGGATAGATGCACAGCCAACTGATAAAACAAATTGATGCCTGCAGCAATGGGAGCACACAGATTTGATCAGCAAGTAAATCAATCATTGCATGAGAAAAAAATGTCAAAAAGAAATCCTCATCCCTCTGCTGCTACTGGGTTTTGAGTCTTGGCTGTTTCATAAACTTACATGATTCAACCAATTTAAAAGGAGACAACACACTAATTTTTCTCTTCAGCACCTTATCTTCTGGAATGAATCAGCTACCCAAATGCATGGATTAAGCTGCATTGCCATCACTGGACCTATATTAGGAACAAAGTTGATTCAGGGATGTATCATTCATGTAAATGCTTTGGTATGACATTTTTAACCATGCAGATGTGACTTTAAAATATTTATAGGGAACCTATCTAGGAAAGAGTAGAGGTTTCCCCAGTCATCAGGTGTATGTAGCAACCAGGCATGACATGCAGCATGAATTCAGTGTGAAAAAAAACACCTCATCATTTGCAAAGGGCATGGCAGTTCCACTGCATGCATGAAATGTATATTTCTTCTCTAGCAGTAGCTCACGTTGAGGTAATCTATTTATCCTTTCCAGCACAGGCACATTTATTAGCAGAGTTAATAAGACAGTCTTTGTCAGAACATATTGTCTGTTGTCAAAAAATCTAAGGATTAACACTGTATTGCATGTCTGAATAGAATTGCTTTCCCATAAGATTTGTTATACCAAGGTAGTTACATGGTCCAGCAGGTCCGGTGCCCTGCCAGATGGCAATAAATAAATGGCAAACAAATAAAATTTCACAGAAAAGTTTAATTCTGGGATGCCATCTCACTCCAACATGTATTACTGATAACTATTGCAGCACAGCACGTGGGAGGAAACATTTCCTTCTGACCTCCACAGGCAATTAGTTTAAGCCCTGAAACCTGGCTTTTGATTACCCTTATCATAGCTACAAGGACCATTATCAGAGATTCTTCCAGGATTTCCACAGCCTTATCACATCTCCGATTATGATAAGGCAACAGTAAAGCATTCAGAAGCCTCTGTAGTAAGATGAATTAGATGAAGTAGATTTCAGTACTAAGAGCTTGATAACGGAATATGTTCTCCTTTGCCTGATCATTTGTAAATATGTAGACTCTAATAACTAATTATATTTGATTTTCAGGAGATTATTTTTCTGGGATTGTGTCAACAAAGATTTTCTTTGAGATGTGCTCCTAAGTTCTTGGAAACATTCAGTTCATGGTTTCCAGACATTCGGTAAATGCCCAGAGGAAGGTCTTTTTTATGTGATGTGTCCTCCCACAGTCTGAACTAATTAACTGATACAAATGTGGAAAATATCCATTTTGCCATGGTGTTGAACTTTTCAAATCTTTCCATTTAGAAGATCAGAAACAATCCAATCAAACTGCTTGCCACCTGGCTTCTCCACATCACTTTTGCAGTGGAATTAAATAAAATTATAATTTCCAATTTGAAAATAGAAATGGAAACTAATTATTCAACAGTGACCTGTATGGCCCTTTAATTAATGCTCTATGTTCACCCAAAACACAACTGGTTTGAATTTTATGCCGGGTTTCTACTCCTAAAAGTAGCAAGTGCTTTGTGCTCTCATGCAGAGGCCAGGAGGGAGCCGGTGGGGGGGGGCGGGGGAAGCAGGGAGGATTGTTTTTTTACCCCACAGCATCCCCTACTGTTGCTTTTAGGAATGGTATTGATTCATTTAAAAGGCAATTTCACGCGGTTCTCATCCAGGAGGAAGGCAGCCCAGACCGGTCACAGGCTTTTCAGCAGAACTGCAGGAGCGGGAGTGGAAAAATAGAAACACTTAATATCCCCAGGAGACTCACAGGTGGTGCTTCAAGGGAAAACTACCGCCCCAAAAAATTATGTTTCACTAACAGAAAATCTCAGTGGCTAACTGGAGCAGCAATTTCCTAAGGGACATTGACCATGACAAGGGACAATTTTTTGTTTTGTTTTGTAAGTACCTCTACAGCTATTCAAAAATTTGGAACATTCCTGAGTGTCTTAAAACTGAAATGTACTCTCAGTAAATCCTTTTCTCCCAAAGGAACCAGTAAATACAACTTTTAATTTTAATTTCTATGGTGTTTTTTTTTTCTTTATGTATGAACAAAAATTTGCAAAAATATACATGCAGGTGGAGGCAGGGGTCTGAATATGCAACTGCTGATTTCTCTGCATCTTTCTTTCCTTATCTATTAAATTGGGTTAACAGTACTTCTGCACCTCCCAGGAGTGTTGTGAAGCCCTACTCATTAAAGTTTGTAAAGTATTTTGAGATCCTTGATTGCTGATGTTACACAAGTGCAGAAATACATCACTTGATAGATATGAATGGCAATTCACCCTCAGATTCAACAGTGTTCAGTAAGGGAGCAACTGAAGAATATCAAATGCTGCAGGCTCAGATGAAAGGGAGCTCATCAAAATAAACGTTTTACCAGAGGCTTCCAAGCACCTTGCTTCCTACAGATAAGATGAAGAGTTCATCCCCTTCTCTGCTTGACAACAGAGAATAAGCCATAGCACTGCACATTGCAAACAGTAGCTGTAGCATTCTTCCCTGCTGGAGAGTTTTGCTTTATTGTAGAGCCCCATTAACTGATGAATTGAGGTCAGAATGGTTCATGTTATTACTGTGAGTATAGAAAAGAGATAGGCCCAAACATGGAAACAAAATAGACTTTCATCACAAAAAAGGAATCAGGTATAGTGATATCTATGAATATTGCCTTGCAAGAGGGTCCTTTTTCCCCATTTGCTATTCTAATTAAAAGAAGAAGCTTGTGAAGAAAACACTTTTGAATTTGGTTGGAGAGCTCACATACATTTCTATCTGATCTACAGAAGAGAGATTTCTGCATCTGCAGTTCCAGGAAAAGCAACACAAATCCATGAACTCTTCTCTAATTTTAGGATTTTATATTGACACAGTAACCTGTGTCCCTTCTGGAGATACTCTAGATCTCTGGAACAGCAAAGTGCATTCATGAGTCCCCAGTAATCCTCAGTCTCTGGAATAAAAGGTGTTCATGAGATAGGACTTCTTGTTTTTGACTAACCTATTCAGATTTCCTGTACCTGCAAACTTGAAACCTAGATCACACAAACTGACCCAATTTGGTTTTGGTCAAAAGAAGTCTGATGATGAAATGTCTTGCACATACTTCAGCTGGACAAGAACTAGTTCAATCATAGCCCATTTCAAGACAAGTCAGCTATCTTATATTTGAGCTCAAGGAAGCCTAAAGGAAGCAGAAGCAGTTAGTCCAGTTCCAGATGAGCCCTGACTTTCTCCTCATACTGAACACTACTGCACCCATCTAAGAGGGAAAATACCATTCAATATCTTAAATAAAGATGCTGTGCCCAAAGCCTGATCCAAGCTACTTTTACAATCTGAAGCAACATTTCAAACACTTTTGAATCAGCACTGTAGCTTGTAACAAGTTTGCTAAGTCTATGGAGGTTTAGAAGCCAAACTGACAGATGAGAAACACAACTTACCTCCTAAGCACCTTCTACTCCATTGATTTACCAGGCCAGACTGAATGAATGCTTTTAGCTTGATTCTTACTCAAAATGAAAGTTGCCTGAATGATGGTTTAACTAGCAAGTTGATCGAAACGATTTGTAAACAAAAGAAAGTAATCTTGAAAACTGAGGAGGAAGATAGTATTTCCTAGCTTTATTTTTGAGCCTGTTATTTATTTATTTATTTGTATTTATTATTTGAACAATACATGAGCAATCAAACTATTCCTTTCTAGTCCTTTCTTTAAAAGAGATTAATTATTTCCATTGTTAACTAAAAGGCTTTCTTCTAATTAAACGAAATTATAAGGCATTCACCAGTGGCATTACAGTAGTCAATAAACTAATTAGGGTTGTGGCAAATTAGGGAAAAGCCATCAACTGATCTTAGGACCATGATTTAGAAAACTTTAAGAATGTGATTTTCTCATTCTTTGAGAAAGCAAGGAAGAGCTTACACATACTTTTAGTTACTGGTTAGAATGCACAGAAAAAAAATATTTGTCCTTTGAAATGAGCATAGTGGCTCCAGAAATTTCTAGCTGTGTTACCTACATTCACTTGGTGTATCTTCATTATGTCATTTGTTGTTTTCACAGTAGAAGAAAAAGAAAGGGTTGAATTTCCTTTTTCTTTTCTTTTTTTTTCTTTTTTTTAATTGCACTATTGCTTCTCTAAAATTCTATTTCAATTGAATCAAAATCATTTTAAATAATAAAAGTAGTATTTTTTTCCTTTCATAATAGCAAAAAATAAATTTCAAGTGCTGTGAAGAGTTCCATGATTTCTCCCTTAGAAACAATATCATTATCATCATCATCTTTACAGCAATGAAACAGAGTCTTCACAATTCAGTGATGAGCTAAGAAAGTTGCATTAACTCTACTTTGCAAATTTTGCATTTTGACAACTAGCACTGTGTGGTTTCTTGCTGGAGATGGGATGTAAAGTCACTAGCCAAGTTAGGCTTGAATTCAAAGGCAAAGACTTAACCTGCTACTTGCCTTTTCTCTTGTTTTTGTCCATCTTCAAGACATTTTTGTCACAAGATGAATGAATGAGAACAGATTACATTATACAAAAACTTTGGATTCAACTCAACAGAGATGCATCAATTGCTCAGACATAGGTTTGTAGTCCACTGCCATGCATAGCAGAACTGGCTAACTGCTGGGCTGTGCAAATGCATTATTTTCCTGTACTGTAGTGCACATGCCAGCCTAGTCTATTACTGTCTCTCATTTGTGGTGGTACTTCCTGTTTAAAGTCATTTTGATAGGGTTACAAATGCTGACCAGATCATACTGTCAACCCTGGGGAAAGAAATAACTTTAAAACAAGATGTGATGGAATAATAGAGTGGAAAATATCTAGTCTGCATTTTCAAGACAGACACTACAACCCAAATTATTGCTCATAATCCAAAGTATTTCAGCTATGCCACTAATACTCTTTTTGATAGCTTACCTTCTCCATGACCTCATGAAAAAATAAACTGCTTTGAAAGGTATTTTAAGTTCATTTAAATTTTTGTCAGAAAACAGTAATAATATTTGAAATCATCGATAACATTTAATTTCTATTTGGTAATTTACACCATCAAAGCAACTTTCACATGTATCATTGGGGTTTTCTGCTGAAGTTTTAGCATTTCATTTTGAGACAACTAGATATTAAGAATAAGGTGCTAAGGTTGTTAAAGCATTTCTGAAAATCTGTCAGGATATCTAGAACAATCTTTGACCCACTGATTCTTCATTCCTATGAAAATGCATGGATTTTTTTTTTTTCTGCAGTCATTATCTAAATTCTACAGTCTCACTCACCTCAGCTCTTGTGTTTGTGAGTAGAGAGGGAGATTTGCTGCTGGTTGGCAGTGGACAGCTGGGCTGGACAGCTAGGGAGATCCTGGCAAATGTAAAAGACACAGTCCTGAACTTGTGGAGTCACAGATTTCTCTTCCTCCTTCTCCTCCAACTCCTCATATAGCCACCCCTCCCTGATTGAACCAGTGTCTTCCAAGTCTCTCTGGGGCAGTGATAAGGAGGAAAAGATGGAATGGGAGATGAAGAGAAGAAAAAAAGGCTGTTACATTGGGGTAACAGTGAAGGGATAGAAAAGGAAAGTGAAAGAGGTTACAGAACTCTTGCTGGACTAATGCAAAATAGAGAGTGGAGTAGAGAGGAAACCCAAACAGTTACTAGCTGAAGAGGGTATTTGTAATACCAACATTTACATTTTCCTGAATTTTCCAGAAAATTGAAAGGAACAGAATTTTCCTTCAGCCCCCTCAGTTTTTCACTGCATTTGTCTTTCATTTTGTGTGGATTAATCCTTTCAATATTTATCTTATGCACATCAAACTTGAAGCAATATTACAGTGTCTTTTCTGAAGCTGTTCATGTTGCTCTCAAGTTTATCTTTTCTTAAGTGAACCAGGGCCGGTCATTTCAGTCTGGATTACCGGCCTTATTTATGGGGCAATGCCACACAACGTGGCCTTTGATATTAAGTAACCCCTTTGGAATGCTGTCAGTGAAAGTCTTTCTCTATACTTATTGGCTTTCCTTGTTTTCCTTCTATCTTTAAGTCAGAACTCAGTTCTGACCTTTACGGTACCTCCACTCTCATCTATGTTTTTCTACTCCTTCCTACTGTTTGCTTACTTATTGTTAATCCTTAGTCTCTTCTTATTCACAGTCTCTCACATCTTACTTTTATACAGTCTCTCTGACCCTTTGACAAAAACCCGTCAACTCTGTCCTCAGGAGTTACAACTTTAAATCCTATCTAATCTAGTTCCCACTGACATATCAGATCTCACCCCTGTTCTGACACAGTCACAATTCCTCTCCCTGTTGTGTCTTGATTATTTCATTCTAGACTTCAGGGGGGAAGTGCAAGGACCTCACATGCAGGGAAAGAAGATTAGTGGGGATTTACATGTTTAAGTTCAGACATGCTTCCCAAAATACCCAGTCAGTTTGGACAGAACTTTGGAAGAACACAGTCTCCTTTGGTGCCTCTGAATTAAATTGTGGAGATTCCCAATAATTTCAAGCTGCATGCTACTCAGCTGAGTGGACTTGTCAAAAACTCTCAGGTAAGTTTAGGAAGATTCACATACCGGATTTTTTTGTCTTACCTTTCTTCCTCAAGCAATTCTGATCTACTTGAATTTCTGAGTGTCTACTGACCAGATAACAAATTCCAGGTTGCAATACTTTATCTTAAATAAGGAAATTCTGACTTCTCCTAGCTTTTACATAATACCAACAGGTGGAAGAAGTAAATTTAGCTTTGTACTCCATCTCAAGGAATCCAAAGCTACAACTCCCAACCCTCAGAGACTGCCCTTACAGAGCTTAGCATATTCAGAGATTAAGAGAAATTCATTCCTGCCATTGTGTCAATCTGTTATACAATTTAAGAGATTATTCAAAACTTTTCCAAACAAAGCCTGAAAAGGCAAAGATGGGGGTTGTTTTGAATACTGGTCCTATTTGCAATGCAGCCTCATTGCAGTGCACCCTCTTAGAGTATCCAACTGAGCAAGACAGACTGAAGAAACGAAAAGGAAATGGTGGAGAAGTAAGAAACTCCTGAAGCCCTGACACCCCAGAGCTATGGTTTCAGTTATACTTGCACAATGCCAGGTATCCTTTAAGATCATTTATGTATATATTGACCAGTTAATTTGATTTTCCAACCTCTGACTAGGCAGTTCCCTGCCCGCATTTGTGTATGAGATTTCTGGTAGGCATCAGAGTGAGTATGGAAGTGAAAGAAGGCTGTAACAGCAAAGGATCTGCTGACTGCTTGAATTGTTCAGTGGATGAGTAGGAGAGTAAATGAAAGCACAGATGATTTTTTGTGGTTAAAAATCAGACAATCAAATCAGTATTAAGGAGCTATGCAAACTAGTAAGAGGTAAGATGGGTGACAAGGCAAAAGCAAGATGGGTTTCAAAGGTTAGGACAAGAGGCTTAAAATCACACTGGAATATGGCCAGTCAGTGAAGGGTGTGAAGAAATTACATGATCTGAAAGACAGCACAGTCAAAATGTCCTGGCATCTCAGAAACATTATTATTTGTATCATACTCCCACCCAGAGGCTCCATGTAAGTATCAGGGCCCCATTGTGCTACATATTGCACAAACACAGCAAACGGCAATCAAAGCCAAAATCACAGGAACAGCAGAGAAAAAGCATTAGCACTGCAGCATATAGGAGGCAGAGCTCTGGTTGAGTGGGGAGCAAAGTGAAAAGGTTTCATGCCAGAACGACTCTGGGTTTGCTCCAAAGGATCATGAACCTCTCAATGAACTTGCAGCCCGGTGAGTTCTGTGTAGTTCCAGGTGCTGTAATGAATGTTTCACAGAGAGATAATTAACCCCCCTCACCCCAAAGCTCCACAGAGCTGATGCTTTCCAGCACAATCTGTCCGTGACACCATAGTAGAGTGCAGAGCCAGCTTTATTATTTCAGTTTGTTCTGTTCCTTTTTACTGCTACTGCTCTCTAAGGTTAATTGTATTCCCTGTGCTGATGCACAGTGGTATCTATACATAGACCTTGCTCTATGGATTCTTCTTTTTTTTTCTTTTTTTTTTTTTTTTTTTCTCCCTGATTTCTAATCAATAAGAAGTTCAAACACTATGCAGCTTTCTCAATAAAATGCCAGGAGTCAACCAGTGAAGTGGGAGAGGGCAAAAGTAAAGGAACAAACCATTGACCCATTCTCACTTAGCCCACTCTTTTCTTGGTTTAGAAAAGGACTCAAAGGAGAGGAAAAGAAAACAAACAAACAAACAAACAAACAAACAAAACAGAGAATCACCCAAATGCAAACTTTTTCCTTCTGAAAGATAGGAAGTAGTAAATTGTAGCATGCATCATTGCCTTTGTTCCTGTATCTCAGTCTGTTTCCAGACTGCAATCTGAGGAACAGATTACCCAGAGAAGCTGTGGGTGCCCCATCCCTGGAAATGTTTAAGGCTAGGCTACATGGGGCTTTGAGCAACTTGTCTAGTGGAATGTGTCCCTGCCCATGGCAAGGGGGTTGGAACTTGACAATCTTTGAAAGTCGTTTCCAACCCAAACCATTCTATGATTCTATGATCCAGCTGAGTAGTTAGGCTATTCCTTCCTTCTTCAGACTCCTAAGTTCATATCCACTTCAGAGCTATTTTGGGAGACCAGACCAGTGGAAGCCTAGAAGAGTGACTAGGCAATATATTGTTTCTGGGATGGACTGTGACTACATCCATACCAGCAGTAACACACAGACAAGATCTTCCTCTGCCCTAACTAATCCTGCAACCACAAGTATGGATAAGCACAAAGGATAAACCAGGTCCCTTACAAATGTGTTTCTGTTACATTATCTCAGTGAAATTCCAGCCCTGTGTCTTGGGTAGAAGTTAACGTTCATCACATGCTAACGTAACTAACCCAGTTGAGTCTCTGCTGGCTCAGCTATCTTCTTGCAGTGATCTCATGAATGTGCATACATGATCATAGTATACAAAATGAAAGAGAATGAATAGTATCTCAAGATCATAGGCATGAAAAACACAGAAAGACAAACAAGTTCACATGCCAGCGTGCAATGTTATTTGAAAGTCCAAAAATGTAAAGATTATGGCAGATTTTCAGTACAGTGACTACTGGAGTACTTTTATGTGTCCTGTTTGGTCAGGAAAAAATATCTTCCTCTTACTGTTATAGCTCAAGAAGGTGCATTGTGAGAAATTTGCTCCGGTCTCTAATAAAACTATCACTAGGGTCTGATGGAGGCTAAATGGAGCATTACACTGTCCTATTCTGATAACTGTTACAGTATATTTCCAACATAATTATTTAACACTGTTCACCATTAGAAAGAACCTTTGATTTATATTTTAATTTCCTTTTTGTGGGGGAGAAGATGATTGTAATTTAACAGAGATCCATAACGTATTCATGGTGTTAAGTGGGGAAGAGATAAATCAGATGATTCATTTCATACTGAAATCAACCCAAACTGAAAGTAAATAACCACCCTTGCCCCCTTCTGGATGATCAAGCTCCCTTGTTTTGGAATAGTTAATACTGAACTTGAACAAATCTCTCCTTGTTTAAAAGTTTAGATTTGAGGAACAGACCAAGATAGATGGTTTCTTTCTCTGTAAGGTATTGATTAATGGATTGTACTAAATGGTGTGACATGCCCTTTAAATGGAATTTACAAGTAATATATTGTATGGCAACTGCATTATTAATGATTTTGATACCCAGTATTTGTGTCTTCCTACTCTGAGCTCTTCTTATTTATACTGGCAAAGGTGGAGGGCAAAAGCTGGCTCTCCAAGTTTTCTGGGCTTTGTTCTCACAATCATATATATTCGTAGGCTCATTCTCATTATTCACATTACTTCTAGCCTGACAGCTTTACTGACTATATGCCAGCACTAGAAGGAGGGGAAACAAAAAGAAACAAACCAAAATAAAATTCTTTTTCAAGAGAATCACCAAACCCTTTAGATAAATATACATGTATATATCAGTAAGAATTAAAGATGGCAGTAGGACTCATACCCCTCATTATTAAAAGATGTTTTCAGTCACAAATAAAGGAATCAGAGAGAATCAAATTTTACTTTTTTTTTTTTTTTTTTTTTTTAGTTTATGAATTTCTCTGCTTATTTTTCCTGCACTTTGAGAGGCAGCCTGTACTGCATATGTACTGATGTGTTTACCAAGAGGTAGACTTGTGCATGAAAAACTGAAATGAAGAGCAAAGGCAAATTAAAAAGCAATTATACAAGAAAGCAAAGTCAAACAACAGTATTGTTCAGTTTGTATTATTCAGTCTATCAAGAAGCAGAGAATCATGAACTCCCAGAAATAGAAGGATAATTTACAGAAAATCAAGACATTGCAGGATATTTTTTTTTTAGTCCTTGCCAGAGAAGGCATCAGGGAGATGTTTCTGTCAGACCTTTTCCTTTCATAACAGTGAAAGATGTTGTTAGCAGCTGAGATTTCAGAAGAGAAAATATACTATCAAACTGAAAAATTAAACAACAACGAATCATCACAACATAGTAGAACAGAGCTGCTGAGGAAACTGGCAAAAACTGACTGAAGTATCTGGCAAAAATATCAGGGGCATAACCTTCTCATTAAGAGATTTTATCGTCACCCCATTAAAATCAAGAACCTGGCTTGCAACCAGTTGGCAGTTTTACTGAATACTGACTGATATCAGATATTGAAATCTGTCTTTGATGCTAGGACTGACTGATTAGAGTTGCCACCTGCTCAAAGCATCCTAAGTTCAGCATAGGTATCAAGAGGAACAGGATGTTATAAGAATTAGAGGTAACTGAAAATCACTTTTCCATTTTTGGAAAGCTGTGGACTTGTAAAAATACCTTATCTAACTTCAGAATGAATGTTATAGCTTTCAGAATGAGAGAAATGGAAGTGAAGTCCACAACCAATGGTTTGAAATAATCAAACCACTCTGTGATGCAGTTTTCCAGAGGGACCCAGATTCGTACTTGGGCACCCTCAGTTCACTGCCATTTCCCAGATTCAGCCCCATTGGACCTAGGGGACAGACTGGGACCCAGGTGTACACAGACTCAGAGAGCCATATCCAGAGATGGATACCACAGTCAGGAAGTCAGAGCTCAGCTCTGAAACAGGGAGCCAAAAAACCCTAGGTCTTGAGCCAGTTTGGCAGTGACTCTGCCTCAGAATGGAAGGTTCTTGAGGCTCCAGGTAAAGCAGCCAGACAAACTACTTTTTTTTTTTAATGAAAACAATTTTTCAAAAAAAAATCAACAAATTATTTTAGATGGAAATAGCAAGTGTTATTGAACAACATGGCATTTTTTCACCTTTGCCAACCTCCCTGCAGTGCTTCTTTTGTTTTTCCAATAGAGAAAGGGATAATGAGGAGAGAAATAATTACCATTTCTGACCAGCTAGTGTGAAAGTATGAGTGTGCTTTCTGCTGAGCACGTCAGTATACAAACTTACATCCTATGTAATAATTACATTGTTCTATCTTTTGACATGGTGTGACATAAAAAATCTCAGGATGTCAAAAGACCACTAGAAGAAGAATAAATATTGAACAGGGCTGAAAAAGCTTTGAACAAGGCAGTAAAAATAGGTACAATTCAACATTCATCTAAGTAATTTCAGGAACAATTGGTGCATTCCAAGAATAAATATTACTTACAAGCATTTAATTTGTCTAGTGAGAATTTTTAAACATTTTATGTCTTAGCAAAACTCATTGAAATTAAATCATTTAAAAATTAATCCAGAGAAGCTAGATTTTTCTCAACCAGTTTTCTGCCTCCAAGAGTTTGAACAGTCTACTGAGTACATTGAAAATGTTTCCATGAAATACAATGTGCTTCTTTACCATCTATGTGTCACTGTAAACAAAGAAAGTTTGATAGCTAAACTAGTGGAAGATGTCTTTTTAAATCTAATTGGCTTCCCATGTACACTCATGCAAATTTGAATTTTCTTGAATCCATTTATTGAGTGATATGTATTGAATTTTCTTAAATTTGAGATTATTTTGGTCTTTGTTTTTGCATCATTAAGAGGTTTTTTGTTGTTGTTCTTTTTTTTTTTTTTTTTCTGTTTAACATAGATTTTATGTCACTTTCAACAGCATTTTAAATGTCCTCTTTGTTCTGGTGCAACATCAAACTGCCTGAGACATTAACTTTGTTTAGGTTCACAAAATTTGATCTTTAAGAGATATACACACCATCAGTCAAAATGAAGTGTTATCACCAAAGCCACAGTGTACATGTGGTTGTAGAGAAAAAAAAATATCACATTTGAAAGAAAGTTACTGTTCTTGTAGTCTCTGTAAGCACTGAGTAAAATAAGAAATTATCTCATATTTATGCCCAGGCTGTTCAGAAACTGACTCAAACACTTCTTTGAGTTTTGAAAAATTGGTTAATATCTATCTGCAAATTATTTTAATTGGTCATTTGTTTACTTATCTATAAAGAAAGAAATTCTTAGGATAATTTCGTTCTGCTTGGAGACAGCAGGTATGAGAAGTCTTATAAAAATAAATCACAGGATTGAGAGGGGAGGACTTGTAAAACATCCTATGAATGTCGTAGCACCTAAATGTCTAAACTTCTTGACAAGCATGTGAGTTTTTTAGTGTTTATCTACTTATTTGCATTTTTTATAGTAACTCGTTATTTTGAATAGATTTCATTGATCTTTGAATAAAGATAAATGGTGGAGTTGGAAACCTTTTCCCTTCTTACACTAAGGTAATAATACTAATTGAGGAACATGATCATTTTCCAAAAGTGTGCTATTTCTTTTTTATTCAAAAGAATGGTATAATAGTAACTAAGCTGACAAAGAAAAACATTGCAAAGCAATAAAGTTAAATTGCCAATGGAATCACTTTCTGAAAGAAGCATAAACAGTCAGGTGTTTCTAATTGCTTTTTTCAAAGTCAGGTAACAGAATAAATAATTTCTTTCATTAACCTAGCCAGTCCTACACTGCAGATTACACCTAACCAGAGGCTACTGTAAATATATGTGTATGTTGATTTTATAGCTTACAAATGGCTGCACAGAAAGACAAGAAATAGTCTCCTCTACCCAAAGTTTTCTCATTTGCTTATCAAAACAATATGTGAAAAGTCAAACAATTGTCTTTAATGAGTTACTGGTTTAAAATTATTTCTAATGCTCCTGATATAGCAGCAAGTTAAACATGCATGCAAATAAAACAAAATGAAGTTTACTATAGATCTTGCTGAGATCACATTTCCATTCACCTATAATCCACTCCTTTGACCCAAATGGCCTCTTTCTAAACTGATTTTCTACAAACTATCTAAATACTTCTTTTTGAAGGAACTGTACCTGTAAGAAAATGAAGTTTCAGAGGCAAAGATTACACAGCACAGTAATATAAATTCTACACACACACACACACACATATATATACACACAAAACCACATATATATACAGTCCTTCTGTGGACAACCCCAATGGCTGTGAAAATAGAAACCCCACTGTCATCACACCACTGGTAAATGTGCCACAGAGTAACCACAAGTCTCACCCCCTGATAATTTTTGGTGGAATATATGAAATGTGTACATAGTACTATTATAGTACTATCATGGTAATATTCAGGTATATATCATAGTAAAGCATGACCATTTGTCAGCACCCTGGTGACAAGCCATTCTACACTGTTAAATGGCTGTCACAACTGGACTATCTTTCCAATTCTTCCTTTTACCTTGCCACAAAATTCTCATCAAAGCATTTAGCAGAAAATGCTGTTCTGTGATTCTTTTTTCTTGGTAAAAAATGTTGATTTAAACAGGATTCCATTTTGAAAGGAAAAGAACCAACACAGTTTGATATGAGAATACCCCATTTCTTTCAGCATCTCCAGAGGGAAAAAGTTCATAATTAATATATTTTTGTGTACATTTAAAAATTAAAAACAAAACAAAACAAAAACTACTAAAATTAACCTGAGAAAGTCAGCTTCTCTCTCGTGGAACAAATAAAAACAATATACATTTTATTCCCTTTGGGAATGAGAGAAAATTATGAAATACAATCAATGCATAGCTAGCCATGATAACTCCTACAAAGCAATAATTCACATAGATCCAAACATGATAATGCCAAATATGTGAAATAGGTGGTAAGAATTCACCACAAGAGCCAATGGAGAAGATAGATCTAGAGATCCCATGCAGTGCTGTCTGTGGAGCACAAAGGTACAGCTCTGACAGGACTGGCAATCCTCCCCATAGCAGCACTGTTCAAAGGCAGCTTTAGAGATTCCTGACCTTAGCTGGCTCCTGTGGAGGTGACACAGAGAAATCAGCATCCATCATATCATTCACACCTAGGCTAGATTATGAGCCCACCTGTAGAGAAGAGAGGATGAAGTACAGCAGAATCTCTGACAACATGGAAATCCTTCTTTGCTTTTCACTTGTCTGCTGCAAGCGATTAGTTTCTACATTAGGTCTCAGAAAAGTTGTAGGTAGAGGTAGATTAAATTCTGTATGTTATCAAGCCATGATATACCAATATCTATATGTAACAAATACTATTCTTCAATGCATTTCAATTGGATTTAAAATATAAATTCAGTTCCAGCTATTTCAAGGCCTGAGGCAAAAGACATTTGGCCTTTCCTCTGTTCCACTGCAATGCACTCATGCTGACCATTCAGCCACTGGCTTGTATAAACTGTCAGAAAGATATCCAGCAAATTACTGAAATACCATCACAATCAACATTGCATTAACAGTGATGTGCCTACAATTGCTAATTAAAGCTAGGAATTGTGCTCTGCCCAGCTTGCCCTCAGCACTGTCCAGCCTTGTCAAAGTATTTGCTCTTTTCGGGGGAACATGACACGGCATGGTAGGGTGAAAATGGCCTGCCACATGGTGCTCTGTGCACAAGGACAGACTTTCTCCTTCCTTTGACTTTTATAAGAAGGAGTTATCTCCCTTTCCACAGGAAGCAGAAGGTCAGGGAACATCTGCATCTAAATGGAAAAGAGTGCTAACACCAGGAGCAGCTCATAATTAGGGATTATTAGCCCAGCAATATGGAATGATTGATACAGAGTTAAAACTAATGACTTTAAAATGATTAGACCATTTTGTCATTTGTTGTTTACTCTGTCTATAGACAAAAAAATCTGTTTACTTTAACCACTTAAGAGCTCTATATGATGCCATATGGGGTAGGAAGAGAGTACAAGCTGTGAATCTGTAATACAGTCTATGATATATGGTAAGCACGTAGGATATGTATGTTGAAACTGAAGAGAAAGCTTAGCATTTATTTAGGCAAGCAAGCTGCAGCACAACTGAGGATTGTTTTGACTGTTTATTTTAGAAATTCCTAAAACAGGAATTTCTACAGCAGACTTGAGTGCCACATCTGAAACCTGTAAGAGGTTTGAGATGAATTTACAATTTTCAATGGTTGCACGAACTTTTTTTTATTCCATATTTGTTTTTGAAACAAAGTTCAGAAAATACTTAGAGACAAAGATATGAAATTAAAAAGATAAAAATCTTTTCTGGGTAAAACTATCTGAATGTGCATAAATGAGGTGATGCAAGGCTATCACCTCTATTGGGAATCAAGAACCTAATTCACTACAGAACCTGATTCACTACAGAACAAGAGCACCCACTTGTAGCTTCACAGGCAGCAGGCCTTAATCACTTGCTTGAGATAAGTATGCTCTTAATATGCTTCACTGAATAGAGAGGGAAAAAAATGTACTTCTTCAAGTGCCATTCTAAATTAAATTTTCAGTAGAGACCTTTCGGCAATTGCAAGCAGCTCCTGAGTGAATGCAGAGTCAGAAGAACTGCTGGGAATCCCAGACCTGATGGCAGCATCCCACAGGAAGGGGTCTCCAGCCCAGCAGCAGGAGAACAGTCAGAGGGAGATGGTCCACCCAGGGCAGCCCTAGGGGAAGAAGGGAAGAGGCAGGGAGGGAACACAGAGCCATGCCATAAGCCATTCGTCATTGCTGCAGCCGCCTTGCAGGAGACAACCCTGTAATAGTAGCTGGCTAATTTCTTTAGAAATATCTCATTAGTCCCTCCCTTCCTGAGCTGCCTCTCTATTAAAATGTGATAAATGAATTCTGCCATTCCCAATTCCAGCCTGTCCCCTTGGTGAAATGAAGATGTGTCACACTGGCCAGGGCTCAAGACAGAGATAATTATACAGGGACCCGAGGAAGTATCTCAGTTGCAGACTGCAGCGTTGCTGTATCAGCTGTAGAGAGGGACTCCTCCATCCTTCCGAATGCTTGAGGAGACTCTGAGAAAGAGTAAGGGGGTGGAAAATACATGTTGCCTAGAGAAAACATCCTATATACGTTCCCCGTGCAACACTTCATTGTAACCTACATGTGACTGATTGGGAGAAATGGGTTCTGATCTTAGTGCTGAGTAGACCTTCCCATTTCAATTCCATGCTGTGTGCAGGGCTGTGCCTACTAAAGCTACCCAAAGGTGTATGCACTGGCAAGGACTCATGAGGGTTCCTGGCCACTCCAGCTGTGCAGAAGAGACGTGCTGAAGGTTTGCCACCAAGGCTTGGATCACCCAAGCAACTTCTGAGAGGACAACTTACCTGTGCACTGTGCAGGAGGCTTGATGAGGCAGTTGGCACAAAAGGAGATGGCTTCTGCATTTCTGAAGAAATAAAAGAGGATAGGTATTAAAACCTTCAGGCTAAGTTGCCTAAAACACTGAGATACAATAAGAAAAACACCATTCAAGATTAAAGATAACAGATTCTACCCTGTGTATAGAATTGTCCTTTCTGCCTCTCACCTGGCAACATGTAATCTCTCTTAAACGTTAAAAGACGTTTAGATGTAGAGCTTAGGGATATGGTTTAGTGGGGACTGTTAGTGTTAGGTTAGAGGTTGGACTCGATGATCTTGAGGTCTCTTCCAACCTAGAAATTCTGTGATTCTGTGATTTCTGGTAATAGACGGGAAGTCATGACTGAAATTTCATCTTCTACTTTCCTTCCCCCAGTTGTATACACAGAAATGTACTTCTGACTCCCATCACACACACACACACACACACACACACACACACACACACACACACTGCTGACTTCTACCGGGTGTTTCATTTCTGGCAGGCAGCTTATGGGTCATAATGAATCTGAAAATTTGACTGATTTTTCTTTTAGCACTTTGCCCTCTTAAACACAGAGAGCATTTCAGAGCCTCTGCTACTTTTCACAGACAGATAAGTAATGCACTGATATCTCACCAGCTGCATTTGAATTCCGTTTTGTGCAAGACAAAAGCATTTTCTACATGTTCTGGATTTTAATTTGGTAAAGAAAGAAAAACAGAAAGTTATGAAATGAGTGATTTGAGAAACAAATTGCCATATTTTATCCACCTTAACCTAAGTCAGTGACAGCATAAGTAAATCAACCATGCTCTTTCCCCTAATCATAGAATCATAGAATATCCTGAGTTGGAAGGGACCCTTAAGGATCATCAAGTCCAACTCTTGAATCTTTATACTCACTTCTTTTCTCAGAACAAGTACTACCTGAGATTAAAATTAAAAGATACATACTTTTATTTTTATTGCTTAAATGTATATGCTATGTTTCATCTCTATCAGAGAGGCAGGCACCTCAGGGAAGGTTTTGATATTTTCCATTGTTCCACAATGTAATAGGTGAGAAAAAATTAAAATAACACCAAATAAAATGCAAAATGCCATATGCGCTTGAATAATTCCAATTCCCCACACTTCCCACTCCCCAAACTTTGCCCTTAAGCAGAAGCAGAGTGTCATTCTGTGCATGTACACCATGACTAGTAGGCAGAGACATACCGTGTGTGTGAAACAGCATACACTGGCAGAATATCCCAAAGCAGAGTCTGCCCAGGAAACCTGGGCTTGTTGGACTCTGGTAGAATTAACAAGCAGCTTTCAAGCATCTGCTAAGAGAAACCAAACCAAACCAAACCAACAGGAAAAAAAAAAAAAAAAAAAAAAGCACAAGCAAACAAAACAAACAAAAGCAAGCAAAACAAACAAACAAAAAACAATAGCACTGGTATCCCTCCTCCTTTCTGACCTCCTCTGTTGTTATTATTATTTTGTTATATTGCATATATTCTTCCATAGAGAAAGAGTATTTTCACACTAACAAAGTTGCTGCAATAGAAAAAAAGGTCAGCACATGAAAAGCAGAAGTGAGGTCTCTGTGAGGGAGCTCAGGTGGGTGATTCATAGAAAGAAAGAAGAAAAACTTGTAAAGGTAAATGTCTCTCATCATCTCTCTGATACTCTCAAAGACATCTCTCCACCTGTCTGTTAGTCCTACTCATCGCATTTACCATCCAGACAGCTGCTTCAGAGAGCAAAGAGTAATTGTGCAGCTTGCAAAGAGTAACTGTACAGCTTGTCCAAGAATATACAAAGGTCAAACTCTCCCAAATATCCCCAAACTGGCTGGTTACTGCCTGACTGACCTGGGGTGACAGCAGACAGATCTCATTGCTGCAATCTGTAGAAGAGAAGACCTGGTCCGCAAGTCCCAGGGAAGGGAGGCAGAGGAAACAATGATATCATTTGTGAGCAAATATAAAACGTAAAACTGCATAAATGATATCCAACACTGAGAACAGGAAGGACACAACACAGTTAGAGGAAGAGTAGAAAAGAAGTATCAGACAAAAAGAAGTCAGTACCATGAAGATGACTCATCTTGCTTAGATCTTGCTCTCAAGATAACCCTTGAAATATGCACAGCCCAAACAAATAGTTCCAGTGGCTGAGAAATTATTGACCCATGGTACTCAGATGCAAAGTTGAAGCAATGCTCTGCTGGTTTCAATTAAAGACTTGAAGATAGCTTCCATGCCCTTCAAAGTTAATAAAACGCTGGATTCTAGAAGAGCTCAACCTCATCTCTGAATCTGTTCTAGACTGGATGAAATAGCCACTGTGGCCTGGAAATGAAATCTCCTTGTTTCAGTTTGCTAATTCCCAAGCTGCAGAGCTATTCACACTCCTTTCTGGCTTTCCTTTGATATTCTCTTTACAAAGTGCTACACAATATGGCTTCTCTATGGATATCTGAAGGACTTGTTATCTTTTTGAACATGCTCCAAACTGAGACCCATGTATTCACATTTACAAGAGAATGAAGTGTAAAGTGATGCATTACTGCAAAGGGTTCTCTAACTTGCATGTACATTCAGCTTGGAAGGGGCTGTGTTCAGAGGTGTTCAAATGTAGCTGGCTTCTGAGTGCAGTTGGGAAGTTTGCAACAGACAGTTACTGTTTGATCTCTCCTTAACATGTCTTTTCTGTACTTAATAAAAGCAAAGCTATGTTAAGAATCTAGGTAGGTGATTTTTCAGTATACTGCTGCCTCTGTCAAAACTCTACAAGATCTGTACTTCTAGGTTCTCTTCTTGTATTAACATTCCTGGGTATACAGCATGACCCACAACTCAGTTTTAATTTAATGGTTTCACTCAATCACAGAATCAGAGAATCACAGAATAGCTTGGGTTGGAAGGGACCTTAAAAATCATCTAGTTCCATTTAGTTCATCTATATCCCTGTTTAAAAGGTTTCACCTAAAAGACATGCATACACAGAAAACTGCACAGAGATTCATTTATCTGTCTCAGGAGGATGAAAAGCCAAGAAAATGATGACAGAATATGAATCAGTACTTCTGGAGTGGCTGAATATTTCAAATCTGATTGCTGAAATGGCTGCAGGTGCCAATACCTTTATTCAAAAGAGAATCTGCACATTGCATTTGGGTTGTACATTTTGCTTTTATCCTCAGCTGCACAGAAAATATAATTGGAGAGGTGTGGAACTGAACACTTTTGATTCAAGCTTTTATAAGAATTCTCTATAAGAATTTGAGAGTTGTTTTTCCCATGTAGTGCAGTGGTCAAGAACATCCAAGTCATGCAACTCTCTTATCCTCCATTCCTGTGCAAGAGACCTGTGACACTGAGGAAGCATAAAGGAAAATGCTTATGACCAGAAAGCTCTCCCAGTGTTATGAACCCCCCTTTAAGTCACTATCATCACAAGCTGACTCTTGCCTCTGGGCCTCGGGAAGTGATATTTCAGGGCTAGAGGTCATGACATAGAGGAGTTATGATGCACATTTTTCATTGTCACAGAGTCTATTAAGGTTTTTCAGCTAAGTAGTGGAATTAGCACAGCCCATGTGACTGACACCTGAATTTAGGCTGGTACTCTTTACCAAGTAAATGCAAGGTGGTTTATCAACATTGCAGTAAGATTACAGAGGGTGCGTGACATGAGCATACCTTGACATGTCAAAGGAAATCCCTTGATTTCCATTTTTTTGCCCAGAAATTGCATCAATATTTATAAGCAGTTCCATTTTTTATTATCCTAAAATATTGTGACTAATATGGTCATGTTGATTTTGTTCTACCTCCATGCCTCCCTATGCTCTCATGGAATAAAATTTAATCCTCAAGTGGGCATGAGAACAGAGAACGGGCAGTGAATTAGAGGAGAATTTCAAAACAAACAAACAAACAAACTGATGTTCTGCTACATTTGTCATTCTTACTCTTCAAATATATGCATATGCAAGTACTAGAAATGATAAGTAGATCCTGAATAGAAAGAAACCTTACATATGTATATGTATGTATGTGTACATTTATATTATAAGCAAAGCTGCCATCATTTGCACTCCCTCCTGGGTGGAGGTCTAAGTTGTGGCCAATCCCACTCCAGGACAGGCTGCAGCTATTACCACCTTGAGAAATTACCATTTCCACAACCACTAACACATTTTTCCAATTAGTTTGAGGGAGGAAATGAGACATTTTTCTTCTTTAATGCCTCTCTCTTTTCCTCTCCTTGCCCATCCATTTTATGCTTCCTGATGGTGCTCAGGAGGCCGTCCGGTTCCCTCCAGCACACTTCCTGCTTCCACCCAGCAGGAATAAACTGTTACTGCTTTGTTTGAAATGATTCCTGAGAAGTCTGATTCCTCTCACCAAAATGTGAATAATTGTAGCATTTGACTCTTGGCTTCCTCCTCAGGGATCCTTCTGAGTTAAACAGTTATTGAATTTATCCTGACAAGGATTGCCAAAGAAAACTTTATTTGAAGGACAGAGGGGGGAAAAAACTGTTTGCTGTGCTGAAAAAAAAAAAAAAAAAAAAAAAAAAAAAAAAGTCTGAAATACTATAAAGGGAGAGAAAAAGTCCTGTAATGGAAGGTGGAAATCTGGGACAGACAAATCAGGCCATAAAGTGTAAGATAAACACAGCAGTGGGAAGCAGGAAAGCATACCCTGGGCCAAACATACCAAGGGAGACTGTTACACACACTGACCTCAGATGTCATATACAACATGTATCTGCAAACCACCTCATACTTCAAAGTCCCACATTACCCTAAGCTCAACAAGTCCATGCTGGAAGGGAAGAGGGCCTGAGAAACCCTGTTAAATGTTCAGTGTATGAATCTAAGACATAGGTATCTTCAAGCCTATGTCTTTCATTTCTGAACTAAGGCCACTGCCTTTTCCATTTTAAACACAAAGAACATGGTTCTAAATCATAAAAACGGGGGTCATTTTGTTCAGCACATCTGTTCAAGGGCATGCCTTTTAACCACACCATGCCTTTTTACCTCCAGACTGATGAAGATGAAAAAAAAAAATAAAAACAAAACAAAAAAAAAATCAAAGAAGCAACAAAGCTCTGAGAAAGGGAGCTTGACTCTCTTTTGGCCCATGCACCATGAAGTAACTAACAAGATTCCTTGAATAACAGCTAAAGTGCTAGTGAGTTCCATCAAGACACGTGACTTTAAATTTCACCTTCACATACAAGTACAGAGTTCAGATGTGATTTTCATCCCTTCTTGCTTCCAGTTGAACAAGACAAGCAAAAGTACATGAGAGAAAGTTGCTCTTCAGGTGTTCCAGCAACACTTGTCTGTACAAGGTGTCAGAGATTTTACTACAAAGTCTGCTTTCCATTAGATTTTTGGCTTGGTTGTGAAATTGGTAGGTGGTCTCCTACACTGAGTAACGTCACACTTTGGCTTGCACATAAGCTGAGTGACACCTGCCAACAGTAATGACGCAGTAGCACAAGCCTGCTAGAGGATCCCTTTTTCAGGTGAGATGGTCAAACAGTAGCAGGTAACATACAATCTTCTTGTTACAAGTGACTGGGAAGTGCAAGGCTTTCACCTGTATCTCAGTAGCCCATCTTTCTGGGTGTTTGCTATTAAATCAGTTACAAAATGTGCATATATACAACACAGAATCACAGAATCACACAGAATCACAGAATTTCTAGGTTGGAAGAGATCATTGAGTCCAACCTCTGACCTAACACTAACAAGTCCTTCACTAAACCATATCATTAAGCTCTACATCTAAAAGTCTTTTAAAGACCTCCAGGGATGGTGACTCCACCACTTCCATGGGCAGCCCGTTCCAATGCCTCACAACCATTTCGGTAAAGAAGTTCTTCCTAACATCCAACCTAAAATTCCCCTGGTGCAACTTAAGCCCATTCCCCCTCAGTCCTGTCACCAGGCAAGTGGGAGAACAGACCAACCCCCACCTCGCTACAGCCTCCTTTAAGGTACCTGTAGAGAGCAATAAGGTCGCCCCTGAGCCTCTTCTTCTCCAGGCTGAACAAGCCCAGCTCCCTCAGCCGCTCCTTGTAAGACTTGTTCTCCAGACCCCTCACCAGCTTTGGCAACACCTCTCAGCTTTTGCAGGAATACTGTGATTCTTATATACATTCATACAGTAGCCATGAATGGGAGGTACCCTACTGAGATACTTCAGACCCAAATCACCACAAGATGTGAATGGCTCACAAACTGATTGCAGTATGCATCTTCACAATTCTCTAGTAACAGGAAGAAACACCACTGCCACCCTGGAACTTAGTCTAATGAGAGAGCAACAAATCAAGCATGGGCACAATCATCTGCCCCTTTCTATGTACTAGAATATCAGATCTCTCCCCATACCCTGTTTGCAAGCATGCACAAGAACCCTGACCAATAACACCTGGGTCTCTGCTGGCAGTCAGATATGTTGTGTGATAAGAACCAAACCAACCTGGTGTACTCATTACCAGGAGAGCTGCCAAGTTCACCATTGCCCTGCTCTGTTCTCATGGCTTTCCAGAGACCCGACCTGGGCCACTATCTTCAAATCAATGTCCTTCCCCCTGCACTCACAAGTGAGCCACTATGAAGAGTTATATTTGTGCATCAGGAACACTGGCGATGGTGGTCAGAAAATGGAGGCCTTTGGGCTACTAAGAGAAAGAAGGGAGGTAGGAAGATGGTGAACCAGATTTTGGCAGTCTGGTGGTAGGAGTCATATGAAATCAAGATCAAACCTTTTCAAAAAATCATTTTGTTATGTACAAGGGCTATACTCTGCTGATAATCAGGTGATTTCCACAGAATAATCTTCCAGAACATCCTTTATAATTTGGAGTTTCGTTTCCATGTTCACCTGTGAGAATGAGTTAGAGTGCCAAAGTGGGCAAGGGATTAGGTCTCATCTATGTCCCTGGTGAGTTTAGAGAATTCATGTTAGGAACACCCTCTTACCTCCCAGATATCCATGAATGAGAAGCACCTCTTTTACCAAATATGTGTGTTAAATGTTACTGTAAACTCTACTAACCAGGGTTGGCAGACGTCACCCTGGCAGCTGCAGGTGCATATTCTGTCTTTTTCCATGCTAGAGGTTGCCTTTGGAAGTGTCGTCCCTTCCTACTGCATCAGAAGAGAACAACTGATCATTGTCTGCAGATTAATCCAATGTATGTAATTATGCACAGCATCAGTTGATATATGCAGTATCTCATGAAACCTCCCAGCTGCCCACTTCTGTTAGGTTTGGCAGACTGTGCACAAACACTGATTTGATAAAATACAGAACTGCCATAATACATGGATCCTGGCACTTGTGGGCCACCTCTGCTGTAACCTACTCCCTATGTAGCCTTCTTCCTGTATGGCTCAGCTCTGTGTTCCAAGGATTCAAGGCCCAACTCTGATCTGACATGTCTGTGTCACCTTGGCTTGGACTTCTCAGCAACGTCTGGAAACAGCCATGAGAATGGCTGTAAAACAGAGCCCTGCAGAATAAGAAAGCTAGAATTACAGACAGAAGTGGGATTGTTGAGACATGGACTGCAGGTAGTTCAGAAATTTAAGAAAAACACCAACATGAAAAGTTATAAAATCCTTAGGGGAAAAAAAAGAGGGAAATGGCATCTCATCAACACATAGGACTGGCTTCAGGGAGCCACAGGAGCTGACCCTTCTCCTGCAGACTGATGTCTGCTTAGACAGGAAAAATGCTTTTGCTCCTTTCTCAGGGTGGAGAGCATGCTGACATTTAGCCTAGTACCTCTGTAAACCCTATCTATCTCTTATGTGTGTTATCCATAAATATTTCTGTATATCTTGCTTGTAGAGTATTTTTGATCTCAAGTAAGGTGCCAAAAAAAAGTGTCTCAAAGAGGGAAGGTTGCATTGTTCGGGGTATCAGTAAGGCACTCAGAGATACATGCCACACATTGGCAGATATACATGGAAGTAAACCAAGCATTAGCACTTTGAACTTTTTAAGTGGTTGGTAAAATCTTCCTAACCCAGGATTTTTACCCAGTATCTCTTTGTTATTTTTATGTACAGCCACAGTGCACAAATCGCATATTTACTCTTGGGCCACTATCAAGACTGAGAACAGAGATGCACAATACATTCAGAATTTAAGGTCAAAATCTGTTTGCAGTGAACCAATACTGTTATGTAAGCAAATACAGTATTTTTGAGAATGAACACTACTTTCTTAAGGAAGAAAAAAAGAGGTAAGACACAGGGCAACTGTCACTCTAATGTACCCACATTCATCAGATGGAATTATCTCAGTCATTTGGGATAACATCATAATACAGCACTGTCAGAGGATCAGTGTCTGCTGTTCTGACAATAAATGCTTTGGCTGTTATGTAGCAGCAGGAGATGATCATCTGCCTCAGATACGTTAATGCCTTAGTCCATTCTCATTATCCCTCAACTCATAAAAACATTAGAGCTCTCCTCACGGCAACACTCATGGTGAAGTATCTGTGGGAGACAGAGGTGCACATGGGGCATGGTGGCAGAGAGAGGCAGGCACTGTTTCGTATGTCAGTAGGGAAACTACTTAGTCACATATGCCTAACGCATGTGGTAAATGTTGCTATAAATGTATTTCAGTAAGTAATTTTCCAAATATCTGCATGTTTTCTTCTTGTAAGATAAATGACAGTGTGCTTCCTGGAAAGCTCAAGCCTACTCAAAGCTTCCCCTTTATCATTCTTGTACATCTTCTCCATTGGAAATTTCTTGTACCAGCAGCCTTCAAGCAAATATCCCTGTGCTGCAGTTGTCTGTATGTACACGGAGGATCACAACCAGCTGTTAGCTGTGGAGGGCACATGTGATGTAGGGTAGGCATATAAACACTTGCCAATTCATTATGGTACCTGCCAGCTTGCTTTCATGTAATTCTCCAAAAACGATACTTCAAGATGTCCCTGGATAATCACTGTATATATTCAACAGAAACCCACAGAAACATTAAATGTTAGCCTCTGTACAGGCTTGGAAATGTTGTTACTGTCAGTACATACTGTTGGTAATTCCAGCAATAAAAGAAATAAAATCAACATGGTATTTAATGAGCTTTTGCCTTGTACAAACATATTGGAATGCAGATAGTGGACATGGAGAAGTATGTGAGACAAGCCACAAGCCTGCAAGCCCGTGGCAACCCACTTGGGGTTTCTGACTTTGATGGAATGTAATGAGAGCTTGGCAGCTTTGGCCAAGTGTCCAAGTGCTCTTGTAATTGCTTCACAACCCCCCAGTCAATCTGCCACAAATGTGTGTCTGGAGCAGCAGAGTCCCAAAGCTAAAGCAACAGGGTTGATGTTAAGTCAAAATTGATTTTCACAGCTTCTGGCTATGCTGACCCTCTTTCTTGCAGCCAAGACTCAATGCCCTACCAATAAAAAGTACTAAAATTCATCTTCAAAGTGATAATACAAACTGAAGGAAAAATGCCAGCACAGTAGACCCTCAGCATCTTTAAAGAACACAACTTGCTTGACAGACTCCATGTTACTCAGCTAATGGTCTCTTAATAGTCATTCTCCTGTATTTATGTTATGGAATACAGAGTCCAATTATAAGTTGTCAAACATCATGACAGTCATCTTGAGTTCAACAGTTTCATTTACAGATTTGATTCACCTTACGTGAAGCATCTGGGTATCCTCTGGATCATGTAGTCTGAAGCAATGTTGAATCTAGGCTTCTTATTATTGGTCCATCCCTCCTCCCAGAATGATAAAATGGAGATTGTCCAGGCCTCTTCCTTTAAAAGACAGACAGAGATTATGCAATATGAGAAGAGATGAGGGAGAACTGGTATAGGATGGGGCGGGCTAGAAGAGCAAGGCTTGCTGGTCCCCCAAGAGCATGGTGGTTATCTCTGTGAAAAGTCACCAGCCTACCAGGGGCCATTTAGTCCCTCTCAGCAGGGACATTTTCAGGCATCAAGCACAGGCAACACAAGAAGCTGGATTATGTTGTTGTCAACAAGTGTTGCATTAGCAATTGCCAGTTTTTTATGTTCCTTCTTTTGATCCCGAATGGATGTGTTTCTAACTCATCTGGAAGCACTGTTGAGAAGTAGCTGAGTATTATTTCAAGTCCATGTAATATCATTGACCAATGAATTTTTGTTGCCATATGAGGACGCTTAAGTTAGTGACATAAACACAGGCTGACTAAGGTGCAGATATAAGCAGAAGACCTGACAGACAACTAAGCTTGCTTATTTGGGTCCATAGAGTTCACAATTCACAAGTCATCCTCATTTGAAAATTAATTTTATTTTCTACTGTTAATTTTCAGTCAGAACACTTCTATTTTCCTGCTGTGGCCACAGTAAAACTATATGCCAGCAGAGGAGAAAAGGCAGGAACACATGTCATAAGGGTACTAGGAACTGCAGCAGCACTGACTTGTTTCTGCTTAAGCTGCCATAGACATACATATGGTTACATACACAGCTTCACCTAATCGCTGTACTACAGTCTTAGATCAAATTTTAAAACATTCCCCACTGAAGTGGAAATCCCCCTTCTGCTCACCAGCACCAACAGGCCTCAGACTGCCTGACAGAGAACACATACTTTAGAGAAATGAAAATGTTTGTACACTTGAACATTTGATGAAACTATGCAAATATAGACCTTTAACTCTTGCGATCATTTCCATTTCAGAGCTTTATTAAGGGAAAAATTTATTCTTAAAAATAAATACAGAATGCAATGTAGCATATTGGGTTGATAGATGAAGGTATCTGAGCCTGTCATAGGTGTTCAGTCTGTGCTCTGCTCCTGGTGCATTTTGTACCTAAATAATTGGGAGGGGGGGGAAATCACAGATTTTTCATGGTAGGAGAATGTGAGACTGCTTAACTCTAGAATGTGAGACAGCTTAACTCTTCCTTTTTCAGAGGAAGAATACTGAGAGAAAGAAATAAGACTGAACTGCAGAAATAAGATTGAAAAGCAGAAGAAGCTGCTTTTTATCAATAGAAAACCAGTATATACGGTTTGTAAAGCCTCTGTGTACTTAATAATTAAAGACACCATTCTCTGTACAAATCACTATGCTATCTTTCTTTCTGCTAATATGACCTCTTTCCACATACAATATGTTTATTAAAGTAACATAATTGACCTGAATACATTAACTGGCCAAGGTAGGAACTTCTTTCTTTTTAAACTGATCTCAATTTCCACAGATAAATCTGCACCTGAGTTGTACATAAGTTTCTCTTGATGCTTGTCATTCACAAGATGTGGTGGGTTACTTGAATCTCATGGCATTCTTTCTGATCCCTGACTGAGTGAAATTGTTTAAATACAAGATAAAGGAATATAGAAAAATTGCTATGCACACACATGCTCTTACACACAACCACATCAATGACACTACCAATAATCATTGTAAGAGCAGCCTTTCTTCAGACATCCAGCTGCCTGAAAATTCATGAAAAGCGAGAAGTGATGCGAGTGAGCTAACCTGCCGTTGAGTTTGAACACTTGTGACCCATCTGCCTTGAGTGGCATTGCATTTAACAGTCTCTCAATCTCATCATTTTCTAACATGCTTATCACTGTGATATGCAAACCATTTTGGCATACTGCATTGCTGTGGAGTGAGTACATTCCTTGTTATGAAAGCCTTGCTGACATTTACATTTTTGCACTGAGTGGAATAAGCAGGAACATTAATAGCCAGATCCTAGCCAGGACATAACAGGAGAGGAAATCCCTCTTCTTACTAGGTTCAGCTCTCTGGGAATTCATTAATTTCTTCCAAACCTAACCTGAAGCACAAGCAGCTACTTGAGGCTTGTAACAAAAATGGTTTGCAAATAATGACCCAGTTCTCCCTTTTCAACTTCTGGACCAAGTATAAGTGTGAGTGAATGTTGTTTCCTACCTCTTTTGGCATAGCATGGCACTACAAATCATAACTTTCCTACTCCCTGTCTAAACCCTCTTGTAGGCTGCTGGCAACAGGAATAAGAATCCTAGGACTCTTTACATAATTTCTCATAATGTCAAAGGAGCATTAACAGAGACAGAAATTGTAATGGACTATTCTTTTCCAGCTGTGACGGAAGCCTATATATCCTCTTGATGCATTAACTGTGGAGCAAGAGGATACTAAAGAAATCCATGGATTACAACTGTCAGAATGAAGCTGCTTTTCGGAAATGAAATGGCACATCACTAAAAGTGGCCAGACTAGTTAGGCCAGAAAAATAAATTACTCAAACCTTCTTCACAAACCAACTGGGCTATGTACAGGGCTTTAGCAGGTTGGGAGACACTAAAAATAGGGAATGTGCATTAGGGCTGCTGGTGCATCACAGCTTCTATGCTCCATCAGGATTGGTCCCTGCACAAGACTCCCTACTGTATTGGGAAGTCCAGTTTTAAATAGGCCAAGTGATGGGGCTGCTGGTGAATCATTTGGGGAAATGATTTTACAGTCCTAGTAAATCTTACCATTAAGAGTTATTTCTAAACTTCATACTGAATTTTCACAGGCCTTCACCTTCATACACGAAAGTAAGTGAACTTGCTTTTTTTCTTTTCTTTCTTCTGCAAATAGCAGTCCAAACAAGGAGTAGAGATTGTAAAATCTTTATACGAAGGCTTTGGGGATTCTTTTTTTTTTTTTTTTTAATCTCTAAACCAACAGAAATGGAGGAATTGTGTCTGACCATCTCCACTCTGTCATTTCTGCCTTCAAAGTTTAGCAAAGCTATCGCACATTTTATCCCCATTTTCTAAATGATGCTGCTGTCAGCAGCCCCTTACTTCTTTAACCCACTGTTATCAACACAGCTTGGCTTTAATATCCAAATAATTATTTATTCCCAAAGCTCTGGGCCTTCATCAAATACCATTCAAATCCTTCTTAAAGACTTATTTTCTTGTAAGACCATAAACCATTATCTTCATCATCATATGGCATGTATGTAATTGGATATGACACACAGATCTATAGCATCCCAAGTAAACACCTCCCCAGGGACCTTCCCATGCAGTTTTCCTGTTTGTATGCACTGATTTTAAATTCTCCTATGTGCAGCTTCTCGTTATGTGCTACTTGCAGGGGCCCAATAGGAACAGACTTTTACTACAAATGGATGCATCCAACTTGTTGTATAAGCAACCAGTATTTGTCATGGGTGTCATGTTTGTCTCATTTCTTCTGTCTTCTAGAAGGGTAAAAGTCACAAGCGACAATAAACCAGATATTTCAGTTGTAACTGGCAGAAGAGTCTTTGCATTTCATGATCAGAATCTCTCTTCCCTTCCTGTTATTAAGAATACAAAAGATGATGATCTGCCTGTTGGGGAATATTAAACTGTTGTCACCCAAAAGTATCTGGTCTTACATGTGTGCTATACTCTCCATCTTTCTGTATCTTCTCTCTCTGCGCCCAAGGAATGTGTTTTGTGACTCCAGTGAAGTGAAACCCAAAGTGTCAGATGGAGGGGGAAGCAACACTGCCACCTACTCAGAAAGGTATATCTGAGCCTTCATTTAAAATTTGTCAGCAAACATGAAAGCTTCTCCATCATTTTGCAACTTTTCCTCCTGTACCTTTCTCAGTTGTTCTGTTCTGCTCATTTTCATGCACTTCTTTCAGTGAAATTGGCAATGACTTTAAAATAATATATCTATTTGATGTTTTGTGCTGTTGTAACACAAGAACAGATGGTAGCAGAGACTAACACAAGACCTTTGAAGTCAGTTCTGTAAAAGAAAAAAAAAGGGGGGGGGGTAAAAATCCTGTTAAAATCACCAGGGAGAAGAGAGGAAGGGAGGGGAGCGGAGGGGATCCTATAATCTGCCTCTAAAATAGATTGTTCACTGTAGTAGCACGTTTGCATTGTATTACCAATAGTTTCATGGTGGGCAAAGCTAAATGATCTCTGATTTGACACAGACTAAAAGCAAGAGTTACCATGGCTCAGATAATTTGTAGGAGCTTGTTCAGCTGCACTAAGTCATGAGTTTAAATTCCAACACAGATTAGCTAATTCAATTCAACATTTTAATGCACACAATTGTGTTGGACTAGAACAGAACAGAGGGAAAGGAGTTCTGTTGACCTCTATGACTTATCATAGATTGTTGATCTATGATAAATACCTTTAAAATTGGCTGCTTAATTTCTTATACTGTGCACTACAGCTCAGAAACCGTTGATCGTAAGACAGATTCCCATTTTATTATCTGAATCTAGCAAGAATATTATCACTACAGAAAAACAAAACAAAACAAAACAAAAAAAAAACCACAACACTATCTAACAAAAAAATTACATTTGCGCTACATATATTCTGATTATTCTTCCTGTATACCCATGCTCATTTCTGCCATATTATTCTGAAGTGACTTCTTCTCAACCATATTTCTAGTTATAAGTATCATTTTAGACCTGGGAAGCTTCCCATTCCAAATTTCAATGAATCAAATAACTTTCTACGAGAACTTATATCTAAAAGGAGAAGCATTTTCTGATCAATGGAAGATTTGTATTGGATCAGCTGTGTATCGGTGTCATAACTTCTCAGCCCTAAACTGTGATGAGGTGACATATCAGACCTTACTCTGTGGATAACCATAAGGCTGCTAGGCATAACAGGTACACTAAAAAAGAAACCTCAGAAACTGACAGTCTGGGAGTAGCTCTCTGAGAGAGAGACCAAAAAGTGTATAAAGTATCATGCCATAAAGACCTTTTCTTTCCATCTTTGGAATGACCTAAAAGAACATAACCTTCATAGATAATTTGATTGTATTACTATTGTTTTGATTTCCCCAAAATAAATTATTTTGCAGAAGATATTTAATCACACACAGTGACCCAAGATGCTCTACTTTCACTCCCTGTCAACTAATCTGCACTCGTATTACCAGCAAATACAACTATTTGCACCTGACCAGAAGAGAAAAATGATGCTTGAGATCCTCAGAGGTCACTTTCTTTGAACTTTACCAACAGAGATCTAGGGAAACAAATGTAAAGCAACAAATAACGTCCAAATTCCACAGAAAAACTCATGAATAGGTAACCTCCAGGTAACTAATGACTTCCAGGTGCACATCTCCAACTAGCTCATCCTTAATTAATTAGCCAGCTGGCCTGGTTTGTCAGCAGCAGTAGAATGTTACAAGCACAACTTCAAGTTGGGTTGTTTGGTTGATCTTTCAGCTCTCAGATCAGAGAAAGCAGGCAAACTCCGGCTATGGAAAGTGCATGTCCTGCAAATTCAGTCATGTTAAAATCCAGTTACATAATAAATTGAGCATTATACTTTAAAAGTACAGCAATATTTTTGGTCAAAGAAAAATGCACTACTTTCATCTTTTTGTCTCAGTAATCAGAACAAGGAATACAGAAATTACAATAAAAGTAATGGAATATCTTTCAATAAAAATAAAATCTCCCTGCAGACAACTCAGTTTTGTTTAGAATGTGATTAATGAGAACATTTGTTGAGTATCTTCCTTGCATAGTTTTTTTTCTTTCGTTTTAAATGTTTACATTGTGATACAAGCTGAAACTAGAATGAAGTGATTACCACATTCACTAACATTAGCAATGATCCACTAAGAACAGAAAAATATTACAGATCTTGCAAGTAAATGTTTTCTAGGATCCACTGCAACACAACCATCTGAAATCAGAACAGAGAAGAAGCAGAAGTGCAATCAACGTTTTTGGAGCATCCATGCTCATTACTGAAAAGGGAGCATGTTGTTTAGAATTATCAGTCACTGGACATCAGTGATTTACCTCCAGCCACAAATCAGAAACAAAGCAGGACCAGTCAGTTAGTAAAATGAGTTTGCTTAAGTATGAAGGATGCAGCTGGGTAGCATTAGAAACAAGAGAATGCAAAAGACTCATGTTTCAGCTTGTTTGAGACAACTAGAGCACTTTAAATATGGGAGATGGAAACATTTTTAGATTATTTAACCCTTCAGGGTTTCATTCCTTTCAGTAAATAGCTAAGAGGAAAGAAAAAGCGGACTTTGAGCTAAACAGTATATATGACAGTTGTTTTGTGTTTTTAGCAAAACTTCCCATCAAAACAGAGACCTGGTTGTTCTATTTCTCCCAAGGTTTCTGGTAAAGCAAATACCCTTTACTACTTATGGTTTTATTTTGGTCTGAAATAAATTTCAACAGCTTCTCTTAAATAAAGCATATTTTTGTTAAAGATTCATTCCAGAAAGGAATATAGTAGTGCTTTTCAGAAATAAAATTTAAAAAATAATAATAAAATCCACCACTGTCCTTAGTTATTTTTTACAGGAGTTATTTTTTCCTATTGCTCAATTTTTTTTTACTTTTTTTTTTCCTTTTTCTTTTTCTGGCTTCACTTAATGCTTTCTGACTCTCATTATGTTTTTTTTCCACTAGATTAAAGAACCCTTTACCAACAGGCATTTTCTTCTCATGAAGGTACTTGCAAGCTGCAATCAAGTCAGTCGTTTAGGAAAAAGTAAAGAGAATGAGCTCTTAAGTCTCTTGATATAAGGTTTTTCTCCAGCACTTTAGTTATTTTTCAATGTTCTCTTTAAAACATAGACACTCTGGCTAGACTCAATACTCAGGTGTTGGCTCTTACTACACTGTGTACAGAGTAAATCCTTCCCTAATCCTACTTGCTACACCTTCTCACATTTCCAGGGTCTGAGCTTCTACCCCCAGAGCATTCTGGGAGTCTCATGTCACATTACTTTTCAACTCTTAAGCCATGTGTCTTTGCCTGTGTCACTACTTTCCTGGGAACAGGTCCTGATTCTGTAACCTTCGCATGTATTCAGTTTCCTAGAGACAGAGCACTGACTTAGCTGATTTGAATTTTTGTCTCTTGGGAATGATACTGACCAGATAATCCAGACCACTTCTCATGACTGTCCTCTTCTTTCTGGTGTTTACCATCAATCAGTCAGCATTTGTGTCATCTTTAAATTTGAAATCATCGAGGATTTAATATTTACTGCTGGAAGATTGAAAAAAAATGCAGTTGGCTTATATCTAGTGCTGATCATCACACAAGTCTAACAGATATCATCTAAATACAGATATAAGCTATAGGTGGGATAGTGACAAGATAAAGTGTCCTACTATTCCCTTAAGAATGGAGTGGAGGCAAGGGAGAAGGAGTTTATTTTAATCCATAGGAATCATGTCTTAAATGTGTTTTGATTTCAAAGCCTAAGTAAGCCAAAAGGAAAAAAAAAATAAAAAAGGAAAAAAAGTAACTAATTTTTTTCTTGTGTATCTCATTACCTCATGAAATTTCTCATGAAGTTTCCTCTCTATCAATGATTCTGAGTTCCTGGAGGGTTTGAAAAATTCTTTCAGTCAATATTTTACCTCTTGCATGTTTTCCACGAACATCTGAATCAGAATCCCAATTGTTCTCTCTCTCTCCTCTTCAGGCATCAAAAATCCGAATACATGTTCTGTACCCTGTTGCACAGTGATGCTTTGTATAACAGAGCAATGTGTCATATGAATTAGAGACAGTAATTGGAGGATGTACCAACTCGTTAGAATGAGAAACTGTGTATCTTCCGTTAATCTTGAGAGTCTACAACTCAGTGGTTATTCTTATTGGAGGTAGCTTGAAAGCAAAGGTAATTATGTATGGAAATTGTAATGTTTTTGGAATAAAATGTCTCAATTCATAGTGAAGATTTTGTAACTCCTCATAATTCGGGGGGGGGGGGGGGGGGGGGCAGGGAGAAGGAAAAAGGATTTAATATAGAAGCAACCAAAACAGAATCTTGTGGCCTGCCTGCTGCTTATCTAGGAGGAATTTCCAATATTATTATGCTTCCAAAAGAGAGAAAATAAAACTGGCTCTTGCCTTTTAGCTCTGCTGCTGGAAATGTGGGGTCCTTCATTCTTCTTCTTCAAAGATGCAGATTCATGTCAGCTCCACTTGACCTGACCATGGGCTTTCTGTCTCATCAGCAGGTGCCTTGTGCAGTACTTTGACTAAAAAGAAAACCAAGACTCCCATTTTAAGCATTCAGGTTACACATACAAGTAAATTGAGTATATCTCAGCCTCTCCCCCTCTCCCTCATCATCCAGCAGAACTTCTTCAAGAGTTATCAAATCCTGCAGTAGAATTTTTAGCTCTTTCATCAGGTTTGGGACTCAGCCTGCAGTGAATCAGAAAGCATTTTTCATATCTTTTTGCAATATGCCTTTTTGTCATTACAGCCTAGCAAGTCCCTAGCTTAGCCAGTAGAAGAAATCTCCCTCATGGTATCTTCATGGTGTAATACTAAAACCCTTTCTGAAGCTTGAGATTTGGATGAAGCTACGTTCAACTGGCAGCAAGGGACCCTGCAAAAGTTTTAAAAGAATTGCCCCCAAAACACTTCTGGGGGCTATGTGTCCGAGCGCCTGTTTGTGAAGCTCTCTCAGCCCTAGGGAACAGAAGGAATTATACACTGATATCAAACAGGGTAAAAATACATGTCAGATTTCAGGCAGACTGTGCTTTCCTGTCTTGTTTAATCTCTGTTGGGGGAGAGAATGGAGATTTGTGCCTGAATTATTTGCTTTTCTCCTTGTCATTATCCATATAACATCTTAAACTCTCCCCTTCCTAATCTGAGGTGACTCACAGAGGTTCCCTATCAAACACAGACACGATACCACACTGTATTAGATTACACACTTTGTCAGAAAATTGGCACTTTAGATACTAAACGATAGCCTGTGCTCTGCAACCATGCTATCATTCTTGCTCAAAGATCTTGTCAGAGCCTATAAATTAAGCAGGATTTGGGCCTAGAGTTACATGAAAGAGACGGCTGTAGGAAACAGGGATGCTGTCTCAACTCTCTGCACTTAAATTTAAGGGAAAGTTCTCTTCCATTTGACCCAGGATGTGACTTTTATCCCAGCATAGGCTGTCTATTTTAACCCATGTATTACTGACTGAGTAGCATATGCTCAGGCATTGGGGTGTCAAGATGTCAAATAAATGACCACTTCTACCTTCTACAACCTGAAAGACACTACATAATGCTTGTTTCCATCCATATGAGCTGCATCCCCTACTGCGGTGTTACTGTACCCAAGCTATTAGAGATGCTGCCTGAATGTGTACTGACTCTAAAACAATAGCTCTGACAACAGCTCATCTCCACAGGGCAGAAGGTCACTGCTTTGAGAAGCTGAGCCAGCATTGCTCAGACACAGCACTTGAGTTACTGCAGAAAAAGGAGGATATAATGAGCCAGCTCACCCCTCTGCTTTATTTCCATGTACACTTTAAACCCAGGGATGAGAACCAAGGAATCCTTTTACTCCAATCCCTTGCTACCCTGCCACTGAGGAGATGGAAGAAGCCCTCTGACACTGCCTGTAACAGTAAGAAATAGTCAAAAACTTGCAGAGAGAACAACAACATTCTGGTGCAGTGTTTCTGGGATCTCCTTTCATGTCGTGATGAATAGCCCACAATTATTATGCATAAAACCAAGCATTAATTTCTGTTGGTGTTGTAGCCTTTCAAGAAGGAAATACCTCAAGGCTGTCTCCACATCTGCGGATATGTCATTTCTCGGCCAGGTACATGTACCATCAGCAAAGGTCTCTGCCATCCCTAAAAAGGGAGATGTCCAATCTCAAAGTAATTATTAAGCCTGTATAGTGCAATGGTTTCAGTCAGGCAAAACGTGTACAAACCACAGAAGGCCAGCAGTGCTGTGCTCCTTATATATGCCAGGACTCAAAGCAATGGAAGCTTTGCTGCAGCCATGCTGCTTGAAGGATGTAAGTGAAGCTATATTTGTGTTGGAATAAAAGTAGAAGAAACACTCAAGTCCTTCAGGTCTGAAACAGAAGTAGTAAGATTTCAAGTTAATGACAAATAGAGACCATTTGTTTTAAGTTTAAACAAGGTTGTTTTGAATAAAAAACAGACAAACCTTTTGTAGAAGAGGAGAGGGAGCAAAGTGAACTGGCTTTAGGGTAGCTGCTACATTGCCCTTTCTTCTTGTGTTTGAGCAACAGCAAGGGATAGCAAGGGATAGCAAGGGATAGCAAGGGATAGCGGGATAGCATACAATAGAATAACAGCAGTGTCTTTTTTTTTTTTTTTTTTTTTTTTTTTTTCCAGCCTGCAGACAGATGCATTCAGGCTGTACACCCAGCTTAACACAAGGGGCTGTGCAAGTGGTCAACTGCCCTTTGACAAGGTGGAGTCCTTTCTTGCCTAGCGCTTGGGTGGGTGGTGACTCAACCCTGTCTGTGTGGACTCACAAAGTAAAAGTGGAGGTAAAGCAGCATGGAAAAGCACAGGGCTGTCCTACGCGGGGTTTCCTTTAAGAACCTTTTTGCTCTAAGGGAAAGCTGACGAAAGAAACAGGCAGCATCAGGTAGAACCTGACCTGGAAATTGGGCCGGCTGGCTGGAGCGTATAGTTACAGTGCTCTCTGGTGGCAGACGAAATCCTCACCGACCTTCCCAGCCACAGTAATCCTGCAAAGAAAAGGATGTGCTGAGCTTCGAGCCTCTTTTCCTGGAGCCATGTGAGTACTAGGTGATAAAGTCTAAGGACATAAACACATAAACAGACAAGCAAAGATAAGCATTTTAAAATCTGTGGAAGAACTGTGCAGATCCAACTCCAATTAAAATTCTCAGCACAGCAAAAGGATTTATTTTTAATAGCTTTGTGAATAGCAAAGGTTTTTCAGCTCTGTCACATGCACATTTTTTTGTATGGAAGTGGATGCCACAAGCAAAAAATAAATACCCTTCTGTCTCTAAGTGAATGCCCACACACCAGTTACACCAACATGAAAACCCCATGGCAATACATAATACAGACCAATCGTTCCCATAGTGCCTGTAATCTGCAGATCTCTCAACACATCACACAGATCTCTGATGAAGTTCAGAGCATCACTGTTAAGAAAATATTCCTATACCTGGGGCACAGAGGTACAGAGGCAAATATATTTGCGAGCTGAAATACAACTGCAAATGCAGTTTTTTGGTCCCTGCCTCCAACCAGTGATGGCGGACTTCCAAGCATAAGAACCACATGCCAGACTCAGATTTTCTTCTAAATGAGTCACCTGCTAGGGGCCATGATGGGTTTATCAGCAGAGAATCACAGACTGGCTGAGCTTGGAAAGGACCTCTGGAGATACCCTGAACATCTGTTCTGCTCAAGCAGAGCCACCTAGAAAAGGTTACTCAGGACCATGTCCAGATTGGTTTTGGAGATCTCCAAGGAGGAAGACTCCACAGCCTCTCTGGACAACTTTGCTAGTCATCCTCATGGTAAAGAAATGTTTCCTGATGTTCAGAAAGATATTTCTGTATTTCAGTTTATGCCCATTATTTCTTACCCTGTCAATGATGTCCTTCCACTTTGCACATGTACACCAACATTTCATAGCATACAAGTCTTTCCCACATCCAAAACCATCTGTACTGGCTACTGGAATGTTTGAAAGAAGTTACAGAAGCAGTTGACCAACAGCCCATTGGAGTGAGTACCTGTCTGTCATCAGGGGTGTAACATGCTTTGCTTCCTTTACACAGAATACAGACAGAAAGGAATATGTTACAACAACTGAATGCAAGTTGTACTTGCCACAATGCAATGAGGGAAGATTTCTAATATACCAATAATCATGAGTAAGCATTTTCATTTCTCAGCACCCACTCTGGCACTTCTGCCAGGGCATTGTTAGCAGACCTGAGTCTATACCTACAACAGATTGAATCAAGCAAAGGCATGTGGAGCCACAAGCAGAGGTTGCATATAAATGCTTAGCAGAACACTAAACCTCAGCAAGTAGGACATTGCCACAGGAATGTGTCTATATATGTTTTTACCTGTTTGGAGGGTAGGCAGGTAGCACCTGCCCCAAGACTTCAGTCTGTACAGAATGCAGAATTAGACATTTTAAAATGAAGAAATTTCTATTAGGACACAACCAACTAAACAATTTCTGAATTCAATTATGTAAATGTTACACCTGAGAAACTCTGCTAAAGCTGTAAATCTAACAACAGACATAATCTGGATTCACAAATGTGGAACAATGCAAAACTTGCTCTCTTTACCTGTGAGGGTGAATGAAGCAGGCTGTCTGGGGAGAGAAAATAACCATAATAAAATATCTAAGTTACTTTCCCACTCTAGTACCCAGTCCAGCTCCCATTTTAAAAGTCCTGGGAGTTGAATCTAAAGACCTAGGCACAGAGTCAGTTCAGACTTAAGCTGCCACAAAGCACCTGAGTCCCAGTGGCTGTTCAGATACAGGCTCTCAGCTCAAGGCAAATGAAACAGAGATCAACTTACCTCATAGACAGGAACATTTCAGCTACTCTGAAACATTTTGTGTTTGCTGTAGGCTAAAAGAATATCTAGCCCAGCTGATCTTTGGTAACCTTAGCATACATGTGATTTTTTCCCCTCACCAGGTCAATCACATTTCCACTGAAACTCCCTAAAGATGATTGAATTAAGCCAGGCAAATCATTCCATTTAAGCTGTATGTCCCATTTTGCTCCCTGCAAAACACACACTTCTTCAAGCATTTGTGAGGTTTGCTCTGAATACCCAATATTAAAAATTAAATATTTCATACTGATTTCATTTAAATAAGTCATAGAAAAAATCCACAATCAATGCAAGAACAATCTGATAAAAAGAAAACAGAAGAATATTGCAGTACAAACTATTTGTCTGAAACTGTTCACTTGTTTTTATGTTCATCTCTCCAGTACTAACCTGGGAGTGATGGTACAGGGGGGAACAACAACACAGAAGCGATACCCTTCACTAACTCCTTGATCCCCAGAGGTAGATATCTGCAACACTTCATGCTGTAAGTTTCACAGCAGGTTTTACTGTTGCTATGGTTATTCAAAATCTTCTATTCAGTAAGAGAGAAAGAAATTCTCCAGGTCTCTACAATACATAGTAACACAAGCATCTCAGTGCCAAGCTCTCCACATGGGGTTAGGCTTCAACAGCATTGCCCTAAATCTAAACACACAACATCAAATTAAGGGTACTTAAATATTTAAAAAGAATTAAAAGTGACACTTATTTAATTTAGAAGATGAAGTTAGTGTGAGAAGAAAATAAAGAAAAGGAGAGGGAGAAGGAAGGAAGGAGGAAAGTAGGGAAGGAAGAAGGGAGGGAGAGACATAAAGATAGAGGGAGGGAAGAATCCCATATCTTTAGAAAGTGTCCTTTTCTCAGTTTTGCAGATATGGTTCCAAAACACTGAGTAGGGTACAGAGTTCAGGAAATACAGAAATACATTTGAGTTCTGCCACTATCTGTAGTGTTTTCTTCAATATCTAATTTGTAAACTCAATAAAAATGCTAGCATCTAAATGAAAGTGTTGACCAGTAAAGTCAGTACTGAGCAGGAAAAAGGCTCTCAATACATTTGTTACCCCCTCAGGTAGCTGATTAGCAAGGTAACATGATGAATTATTTAGCCAATGCATGGTTTTATTCCCCATCCACTTTTTGATCTTCCCCACTCCTTGAAATAGGCCATGGTCTTGAGGTTTCTGAAATATGAATCAAGTCACATTTCAGCACTTTCATAATTAAGCAGCGTTCTATTCAGTGCTGGACAGTTTTTGCTCCTCTCTAGCTGGGACTGATACATAAGAGCAAAAACATGAAACAACTTCGATGCTACCATTTAAACAGTTTATACCGTGTCAAGAAAGCTTGCAACTCAAACAGATCTATGGGTGGCAGAGAACATCCTTTGGTGTCTTCACTTCACCATGTGATATTTAGAGGGCTGTGCTGTGCAGTGTTTTCACCTCCTACAGGATAGGCTCAACTTCCAGCTCAGGGATGCACATAATGGTCTCAGTCAAGACTCTGTAAGAGCACATCACTATGTAGAGCCATAGTATCTGTCTTCCTGCTCCTATTCAATAATTTTCTGCTTATTCATTTGAGGATCACATTAGTTTTCAGTCACAGCATTACACTGAGATGTTCAGCCAATTAGCTGACTTCTAACTCCTTTCAGGGTCACTGTTTCCCTGGAAGCAAGTACCCTGCTCTGTGTGTGTGCACTATCGTCTTTGTTCCCAAACACGACCTTGCATCTGGCTACATTAACATTTATGCTGGTTAAACAAGCCCCACTTCCCAAATGAACTAGATTGATCTGTCAAACTGATCCAACTTCATCCCTATTTACTCTTAGTAGTAATGTATCCTCTGCAAATTTTACAGGCACCAATTTCCTCGTTTTTGAACCATTAATAATAATACCACTGATTTGTATTAGGCTAGAAAAGATCCCCATGGAACTCTGCTAGAAATACCCTCTATGGATGATTCCTCATTTACAATTCCTTTTTTTTTTTTTTTTGAAACTCATGAGCCAATTTTAATCTATTTATTATGTGCTACATTAATTTTGCATAGTTCTAATTTTTTAATTGGAATGTCATGTGGTACTAAGTCAAATGCTTTTGAGAAGTGCAGGTAGATGTCAGCACAGCTCCTCTTATCACCCAACCTTGTCAAAAATAAGGTTGGGTTGTGTTTGCTTAAGCAGATCTGTTCTCCACAAAGTGAGATATGCAACAGTGACTGCTCAAGACCATAGGTTGAAAAAAAATGCAGCATCTAGAGTCTTAATGAGCAATGAGGAACTGCAGCAGCCAGAAGGTTTTAACTGGGGAGCCAATCAGTTGCATTTTCTTACTGACAAGCCCAAAGGTTTTCAATCACTGTCTATTCCATTTATTTACAATATATAGTATGCTAAAATTCAACACATATGTGGAGAAAGGACTCATTGAGGATCTCTGAGCATTTTGAGTCACAAACACTTACCTGCCTTTGTGCTACAGGATGAACGGAATGGCATGTTTTCTGATTTCCTCCTCATTCTGGTTCACTGGCTCCTGGTCTGCTTTCCTATTGAAACCTTGTGGAAGAGTCAATGTCAGCTTTTATCTCTGTGGTGAACACATCCTGGAAGGTACAAAGAAAGCATCATATCTTGATGAGGCTTGGTGAGAAATCTAGAAGGTGCTTTTCAGCTTTGAATTACTGTGTGAGAAACACAAAGGCAGGAACTTAGCTGGTCAGTTTCCTGGAGCTCTAATGGTCTGTCTCACCTTCTGTTCTTCTAGAAGGTGATGTAGAAATAGACTAGTGCTGTCTATTTCTATTACTGGTGTAGAAATAGACTAGACTGTGCAGAGGCAGTTGTACAGTCTGAACCTCTCACAGAAGTCAGTTAGCATCTCAAAGAATGGTTATGTAAGATGGGGTGACAGAACACCCCATGTTGAAAGGATGGGCTCCCTCTCTTCCTCCTCACTCTACTCCACCCATCCACACACCCAAGAGCAGTGGTTGTTGGATTTGCAACAAGATGATTCAGATTTCAAAATTGCAAGGTTTCTGTAGCTCTCAATTTCTGTGCGTTATAATTGAATAATAATTTTCTCTTACTTCTCCAGTATCAGTAAATAATAAAATTGGGTATAGAATCATAGAATCATAGAATATCCTGAGTTGGAAGGGACCCTTAAGGATCATCAAGTCCAACTCTTGACACTGCACAGGTCTACCCAAAAGTTCAGACCACGTGACTAAGTGCACAGTCCAATCTCTTCTTAAATTCCGACAGGCTCGGTGCAGTGACCACTTCCCTGGGGAGCCTGTTCCAGTGTGCAACCACCCTCTCTGTGAAGAACCCCCTCCTGATGTCAAGCCTAAATTTCCCCTGCCTCAGCTTAACCCCGTTCCCGCGGGTCCTGTCACTGGTGTTAATGAAGAAAAGGTCTCCTGCCTCTCGACACCCCCTTACGAGGAAGTTGTAGACTGCGATGAGGTCTCCCCTCAGCCTCCTCTTCTCCAGGCTGAACAGGCCCAGTGCCCTCAGCCGTTCCTCATACGTCTTCCCCTCCAGGCCTTTCACCATCTTCGTAGCCCTCCTCTGGACACTCTCCAACAGTTTCATGTCCTTTTTATACTGTGGTGCCCAGAACTGCACACAGTACTCGAGGTGAGGCCTCACCAGCACAGAGTAGAGCGGGACAATCACCTCCCTTGACCTACTAGCGATGCCGTGCTTGATGCACCCCAGGACACGGTTGGCCCTCCTGGCTAGTTTAGAAGCTTCTGAATATATACTTTTTTCTTTTTTTTTTAATATATATATAACAAGAGACTGCTCTTCAACAGTAAATTAATCTCTATAAGCATGCATATACTTCCATATACCAGTCATACATCAGTCAGATCCTCTTTCAATTCACAGATGCTGGGCTATAGATTGCAATATAATTTGGAATTCTTTCTCTGAAATTGCTAGGCAATCTATGAAGTAGCAAGGAGCAATAATGATAATAAATCAGCACCTACAAATTTAGGTAAAATTAATGTTTTCAGTGATAATTTAAAAATGCCAGTTTTAAATACCAAAATTTAATAATAATTTAATAATTTAAATTTAATAATTTAAAATAATTTCAATTATTTACCATAATTACAAAATGCACATTTCTTGGTCCCAAAGTCAACATAAAACAAACTAACCAAAACCAGTGTAAATTATCTAAACAAAAGAGTGAATTTGTTGCTAGAGTCCAATTTTGAACCCTCAACTCATCATACTTAAAACATCAGGTTCAATATCACATGGTTCTAAATCCTAACAAAGGACCTCCATAAGAAATACAGTACCTCTTGATGAATAAGATTGTACCAGTTAGTTTGAATCCTTCTGTCTGATTTGCTATGTACAATTACATTCATACCTATGAAATCCCATTGAAATCAGTAATAGTAACACTCACCCTATAAAAGATATTACTCGCAGGTACTGTATATAAACTCGAAATAGATAGCTGTAACACAGGGCAGATTGATATAGCCCTGCAAGGAACCCCTTCTAAATTTTAACACCAGATCTGACTTTGATTTGCTTTAGTTCTGTTGGATATAATAGCAGCCTTGTGATCTCAAGCTCATGATGCTATTAACTCACTTAATACAGATTTACTCACTTTTAAGGATTCATAATAGCTCCCTGTGGTCATTTCGGTCACCTCTTAAAATCAAGGTCTCTCTGGACATTCCTTCAAGTGATTTATGAATGGGTCAATGAAACTGTTAATAATTCCAGCTGTCTTCTCTCACTCTCCTCATGTTTCAAGGCAGTAAGTTTTACTCCCTTCTTATGTGGATAGCAACACTTCTTGCTTGGCTTAGGAGGAATGATTGCTATTGTTTCTGAATTAATGCACAGATGAGATATGGATTTGGAACAGACTTTTCTAACACGTCCTATAGAACACTATGTAAGAGGACAGAAATTGAAGATACACTTAATGAGGCATAATTCACTGAGATGCAATCCTGTACCTTGTGCATGCCTGCATAAACTGTGAGCTTTAGAAGTAAAAGATTTTAACTCTCTGATAACACAGCTACTGCCACTATGTGTCAAATACTGGTTCTCTAGTTTCAGCTACCTTTGTAAATTATAGGCTCACAAAATACTGTGTTTGCTAATCCTTAGTAGAACCTACAAACTACTAGATGTGTACTGCTATAAAGAAACTGGTGTCTTATCTCTGACATAGTGCTTCATTAACCCAGTTCAGAAAGAAATGTTTCATATCATTTCAGTGACAGTGAGCAGTCAGGTTGACAGAGCTAACAAGGAAACATGCCCCTTTTGCTTGATTTGCCAATTAAGAACTTGTGGATGTGATGATGAGCACCTACAAGAATGGAAACTGCATTGTCTGAAGAATGTATGCACAGAAGCGGAAAACAGCAGAAAACAAGCTTTAACAATCTGAGAATGAAGGTACTCGTCCAAGCTAGTCCACTTAACTGTGTAGTGATCTGGTTAGCTTGGCCTAGTTTCTTGCTGCTTTTTTGTTGACCTTGTAAGAGCAATAGATTTGAAACGGGTTCATGGTTCACAGTTGGAACATTAAACTGTTTCAAGGTGAGTTAGGATTTAAACCATAGTTTCCCACTCAGACAATAAACAGATATGCATGTCCATGGCCATGCTACTTGCTATTCTGCTCAGGTTTACTTACGCTAAATCTAAACTGCCCTGATGAATGTATAGAGACTTCTAATAGAAATATAGAGACTTGTAATGGAAATATCCGTACAAATTAAGCATGAATTAAATTGAGTGTGTGTGTAAGCAACTGAAGAAACAGTAAAACAAGTGTTAAAATAATGGTTTGCATTGACAACAAAGGACACTGTTCCCAGCAATAAAAATGAGAAGTGTGTTGTTCATGTCAAGACCAGAAAGCCTGCACTCTGGTAAAATCATAGCACAGATGAATCATCAGGGGGAGATCCTACACTGACAGCAGGAGGATGGTGTCAAGGTCATAGCCCATCACAGGCCGTTCCTTTTCTTGTTAGCTCACAAGCAAAACAGGCCATAGCTACACAGTTTTGCATATATTCCAAACATATATTACAAGCAAAGAAAAAAAAAAAAAAAAGGATATAATCAGTAGTCTTGCCTAAGATTCATGGACAATGATGTGAGATTCTGAATCAAAGGACAACATCATAATAACTGTTGGCTCCTAACAGGTATAAAAGATCAGTCCCAGACCAATTCAGCATCATCAAACAAGAACTCTTGAATGTGATGAGCACACAACAGCTGGCACATTCTCCATGTAGCACAAGAGACCATAGCCAGAACACTTGGGCACACCCATTCTAGAGTTTGTGTGTGGTTCTGAGAGTGTCAGTGGAAAAAATGAACTTACTTAGAGCTCCTGATAATAAGTACCTACTTCCCCTTCCGTAAGTTCTTTCACTGAGTTTTGTTACAGAAGCTTCCTTCAAGTGCATGTAGACTGTTTTTAGTAACAGCTATACAGTTTTTTAGGTATCTCTTCATGACACAACACTCCACTTTGAACTGGTGCAGCCTCACTTCAAGTATTATGTATAATACTGTGTTTGTGGTGCCATGATATAAGGACATAAAACTATTAGAGTGTCCAAAGGAGGAAAACAAAGATGGTGAAAGGATGTAGAGGGCAAGAAGTATGAGGAGTGGCTAAAGTCACTTGCTTTGTACACCTCAGAGAAGATAAGACTGCAGGACAAACCTCATGGGCAGCCTACTGCTTCCTCAAGAGGGCAAGCAGAGGGGGAGACGCTGATCTCTTCTGTCTGTTGACCAGCAATAGGATTCAAGAGAATGGCATGAAGCTGCATCAGGGGAGGTTCAGGTTGCATATTGAGAAAAGGCTCTTCACTGAGAGGGTGGTTGGGCACTGAAACAGGCTCCCCAGGGAAGTGGTCACAGCACCAAGCCTCCTGGAGTTCAGAAAATGCTCTCTGATTTTTTGGTGGTCCTATGTGGAGCCAGGAGTTGGACTTGATGATCCTTGTGGGTCCCTTCCAACTTGGGATATTCTGATTCTATAACATTGGACTATACCATATGGATATGTCCTGCAGACCACCTGCTCCTGATGATTTAAATAGGAAATAAAGATAACATTTAGCAAATGAGTAAGAACTCAGAGAAGACTAATTTTTCTGGGTTAATCCTAGGCATCCTGAGTTTGGTTCTGGCCTTCTTACAGAGAAAGGGAAAACAAAGCTGAGTGGATATGGGCAAAAACAGATGTACAAGCACATCTGAGACTGTACCCCAGCTAATCTTTCAGTCCCTGATTATGGTTTCAGATGTCCTCTAGCCCTTTAGGTAACCATGTTCTTACATTGCATAGATATTTGGCAACTATCACTGCAGCTGGTTATTAAAAAAAAAAAAAAAAAAAAAAAAAGTAGATAAATAAGGCCTGGGATAAAGAAATACATCATCCACCCATTATCCCTTCAATGTATGTAGCCTGCTGGCATGGTTCAGAGTTAATTTACATGATAGATGCTTCTACTTCAGCCTAAAACAAGGCTGGTCTGCATGTCATTTCCTGTCAGGAGTTGCTGAACCTCAATTACTTATTTGAGATAAATGATGTAATAAAAACACACTTTACAGTCCAAAAGCCACCTCCATCTACAGTATAATGCCT